ACACATTTTACAACGCTTTGCAATCGCTGCGTAAACAATTGAAGCCCAAACAACACAAATATGACGTAACAAACACACACACTTTATTGCAACTGTGCGTTATGGAAAGTCGAAATTTTGGGGCCCCAAAATCGATCGGAAGTTTATAAACAAGATGCCCATCAGAAAATCGCTTCTGTCGACCTTTTTGTACCCTGCATTCATAAAAAAATCAAAAAGGTAGCAAATTATATTGAAACTAATTGAAGATAACATTATGCCGAAATTTGAAAATTTTAATTTAAAAAATTGATTTTTATATTTTGTACTACAGTTTTGTAAGTTTTGAGAGCCCTTTAATATTGGTCATATTTTATTAAAATTACTTCTAGAATCTATTTTTTAATTGTGCGTTAACTGTACTATGTAAGAATATCACTGATCTTATATTAATATCTATATAAATTCATCCTTTTATGCATTATTTTTATAGGATGAGTTAGCCCTAAACTTATCTTTTATTAAGTACAGGTTGCAGAGTAGCTTGTAGTCTGTAACACTCGATCAGATCAGTGATATTTGTTTTAGTTGGATCTTCGTAATTACACACACATACACACACACACAGAGACATGTGCACTGAACAAACACCTAAACATTACTGGGAGATTGCATCAAAAGTGAAGTCTCAAAACTTGTCAGACATCGATTTGAATATTTTGAATTCAGTTTGTAATTAGACGTCGCCCGGAGTGCATTATACAGAATACAGTGAATACGGTGATTAGCAATGAAAATCGGTAAGCTGCTGGCTGCAATCTGTGAGAATGTTGAATTGTTGCGTGTTTTACTACGTCGACCCTCACGACGTGGTTCATTCATTAGATCATTCATTCCATTCAGCGACAACTCAAAAGTGCCATTCCAAATGTGGGCGTCGTTCTATTTATTGTCGTTTTTACTATCGATATGTATGTGTGCGTGTGTGTCTGTGTGTGTGTGTGTGGCATACACCTGTATGGGTGATTATGTAAGCGTTCTTAATTGCAAAGGTAAATGTGATTCAATGCTATATCAATAACAAGCCTTGATAAACATGAACTCAGGCCAGATGTTAATGCAACGCTTGCTTTGATTAATATTCAGCGTTCCCCTCTCAGACCGGAAGTTGTCTACTACGAAACCAGTTGGCCGATAATCTTTACTTGGCTGTACACAATAGAGTTCGAGGCATAAATTTGTCAATTTAAATTTCTACTTGTTAACCTTGAATTGAACTGCCCGAGAACAAATAATCTGAGCCATCAATTGCGTATCTCATCGTAAGGAAAATAAGAGACAAAATAAAAACCAAACAAAAAAAAACACCCAACTGTCAAATTAATACAAAATAATCAACAGCAACACTTTTAATTTGTTGCCATTCGTCGTTGTGTTTTTCTGTTGCTTTTGTTTCTGTTTTTGCTGCATACTAATTTTAGTTTTGGTCAAAGTCAAGTGAGTCATCGGTGGCCAAACAAAATCACTAAAATTGCGCGGCATTCTGTTTGATGATTCTGCACGGCAGGTGGCGCCACTTTGACAAACGCCCACCCAATGCAGCCTGTGGCAGGCAGGCAAGCAGACAGCAGGCAGTCAGGCAAGAAGCAGGCAACAAATGGCAACGTTTACCCAACACTTTTATACAACTACTCATAAAAATGTGTTGCAATCAACAAGCAGCAAGAACAAAAACAACAGCAACAACACACAAACAAATGCTCAATTGAGTTTGAGCGAGTTTTCCCACCCTCTCTTGAGTGAGTTATGCGCTGCACACTGGTTGCGGATAATGCAAAAAATGTTACACACATTTCAATAGACTTATTTAATTATAGTGCTTTAAAAGTGTATCGATATAAAGTATGATATATATGCACTTATTTTTACATTCTAAGAATTGTAATTGAATAGCGCATTCATATTAAAAAGAAGACCATAATTTTTGTATGATTAGCAATAGCTATATATAATACTAAAGTTGATTAAACTTGCAATTACATTATTACCCTCTGTTAACAACTAACTTTTTAATGGGTTTGCAAACAACAAATGTGCCAGCTGTTTTTTTTAATAGAAAACTTAGTTTTGAACAATGTACCAGTGTGCGCTGCTGCCGTGCGTCTCACAGCAGCCTCAGCAGCAGCCTCAGCTTCAGCAACGGTTTTCGTCGAACGTCTTGTTCAGTTGCTTTTAAGATTTTGCCGAGCGAAAAATAATTTTTGGTGCTCTGTTTTTGCCGTCGCTGTTGCTCTGTGCGTGAAAAATCGTCGATCGATTGTTTGTGTGCGCTAGTGTGTGTGTGTATATGTGTGTGTGTGCGAGTGTGCCCATAACAATATTTATACTTATTTGTGGCAATGCCTGAGTGTGGAATTTAATTCAAGTAGCGAATCACGATTGAAGCAACAACTGAATTACAACAGCAAACAAACAAGTGAATCACATGAAAACGAAAGTGACAGCCGCAAACTGCAAATATATGTAACAATGTCAACAGCAATTGCGAGCTGTTGAGTTGTTGAGTAGCAGCAGTACTAGCACCACCAGCAGCAGCAGCAGCAGCGCAGTCAAGAGCATAACATAAACAACAACTACCAAAAGCATACCATTGAACATGCGCGTGCTGCTTGACCCGCTCTCGCCCACGCTCTCTCTCTCTCTTCATCTGTCTTCCTCTCTGTCTCTCTCTTTCCCTTTTGCGCTGCATTGTGCACGGCCGTCTTAACAACTGTCATCTGTTCAACTCCGCCTGCTGCTGCGACTATTGTGACTGCAACTGCAGCTGTCCGCTGTCAGCAACTAAGCCTCTCTCTCTTTGCTGCCTATGCTGTTATTTTGTTTAACTGCATCTCTCCACAACTTTGTTGCGTTGCTCGCTCAATTGATGCTCTTCCTCTTCCTCTCCCTTACCCTCCCTCTCCCGCCATTCGATGCTCTTATGCTGACTCTTAATTGATTTTAATTGTGTTTTTATGAACGCGACGAACAACTTGACGAAAATGTTAACCAATCGCTTAAATTGTCATCGAGGCTGCATTTTGTCGCCGATATTTGATTGCTTTTTAATGAATCTCTCATTGCGCTTCTGGGCGACGAACACAAATACAAAATTCAATTCCAAGAAAATAATAGGAAAAACTATGCATTTTTCTATATATGCATCTCAGCTGAAAATTCAACGAGTCATTTAGTTTGAAATGCATCGTTTGTTTAATATGTGCAACAATAAATAAGCCTTGCATCCCTTTTAGGGCATATTTCTCTTAAATTTATGTACTTTGCATCAGGCATATTTCTGATTTTATTTTATAGACCATCAGTCGAGAAGTCTCTTTAGGCCCTAAGCACAATAAATATTTTCCTAAATATTGAACTTAATACAGAATCTGCCACTCACAGCAATCATTTACAGTCCCAGTGGCATTTAGAATGAGGGAAAAGATTCATGTCGCTTTCCGTGTCATTTCCTATTCGCTCAGTTCGCATCATAATTCTTTTTCAGTCTTGACGTTGACCCACTCAAGCGCGACGCTCTGATAACCCCAGCAGTTCTATTTTTAGACATACAGCAAGCATACACACATATAACTGTATATGTAAATATATATATATATATGGCTACAGATACAGACACACTCCAAAGAGTCAACCACATGTTCGAAGGCCCGTTTTATGGATCGGTTCCTATCGATTTATTTATAAGCGAATTGCGAAACGTTTTGCCATTTGTTCCAAAACCAAAACAAAAATCGAAAACTGAGGAAAAAAAACCTTTTAAATATAGATTATCGCTCAGCGATCTCTATCCATCACCTCCCTACGGAATCCCTGCCATTTGGCATTTTTATTATTTTCACAATAAATTTGGTTGCCAAAAAAACGCGTCACACCTTTTTTTGACGCCACTCACTGTGATGATGATGAGCTTTACATAACTCAACTGAGCGCAACTCAATGCTGAGTGATTTTGTTCGCTTTCCTTTTCTATCTATCTATATATGCATATATATTTATATATATATAGCATCTGTGTATATGTTGGCATTGGCCCAATTGCAGGTGGCTCTAACTTTTGAACCCATCCCATAGAATCAATGCCAAGAAGCGAAGAAGAAGACACAAATAAAACTTGCTGATTTGTTTGATTTATTTATTTTTTTGTATTTCGTATTTTTTTTTCTGTTGGTTGCTTGTTAAGTGATGTCTTAATCGCTGTCTGTCATGTTTCCATGTTGTCTTCTAGTCTCTCTTGGGCTGGGCAGTTCAAGTGGCAACTGGCAAGTGGCATGATTGACATTTTGTAGAGCTAGCCGAGTGCACATCAGACGCATTTTTCATCTGGCCAAAATCTCAGTAATCACGTTGGGGCCCTGCCTTTGTTGAGTTGAGTATTTTGTTTGTTGCTTTTAGCCAAATTATAGCCAAACAAAAGGCAAACAACGCTAATTTGATCAGATATGTCTTAACACACACACACACATATATATTAATTCATTTATACATATATATATAAATAATCATATATGCGATATTTCATGCCCTGGTGCGATTTTTAGCTCGTTCGACTAGTTCGTCCCACGAGCATAGATATCAAAAATAAAAAAAATACAAATACAACAAATAAATAAATAAAAACATAAGTATATATGTACATATATATATGTGTTTAGACCTCGTCTACTCTCGATGGTCGTCTAACCCCGCTGCCAGCTCTGCCCCCCTCCCCATCCCCCTCCTATTGTCTGTCCCTCGATTTATGTCTGTTTTTGGGGTCGTCACAGTGTGGGAGTTGATTCGGCTTTGGCTTTGCTTTCCGATTGAGTTTTCATGCACGTTGTTCAAATTCGGTCAGTTGGCAACTAATTTTGAACAAAAAAGAAAGAAAAAAATATTATTTGTTTGCTGTTGTTCTTTGGTTGGCTGCTGCCAGTGTTTCAATTTGGCCAATAAAGGAGTTATACCGTTTATACCTCGTTCAGCGTCTTCATCGATTTTGGCCATATTTGTGTTTGGGCTGAGAAATGTCTTCGAAACTGATATCATCGTCGTTCCACAGCACGTCCCTCAACGACTGCTTCAAAGTAGGCGCGTTTGAGAGACGTTTGGGTAAGTCCATTCCAGATGTGACGAGCTTTCGATGTGGGCTCAGACCGAAGAGGAATGATTCTCCTAGTGAATTAGCCCAAAGAGTTCTCTCCTAGAAAGCTCTTCTAGATGATTCTCCTAGCGAGTTAGCCTAAAGAGTTTTCCAAGAGATTTCATAGACAGTTCGCATGAGTTCTCCTAGAGAATTCACCTAGAGCGTTCTCCTAGGGAGTTCCCCTATAGATCTTTTAGAAAGTACTCCTAGTGAGTTCGCCTAAAGAGTTCTACAGAGTTCTCCTAGAGAGTTATCTTATAGAGTTAGCCTAAAAAGTTCTCCTAGAGAGTTCGTCTAGTGAGCTCTTCTAAAAAGTTTTCCTGGTGAGTTCTAGAGAGTTCTAATGCCAAGTTCAAGTTCGAAATGCATTTTTGGACAGCAACACTAATCATTAGATGCTCTTTAAGCAACTACTCCATTTATCTATCTTATTCAATTTATGTATTTTTTTCTAAGTCTAAACTTAGCCAATAATTTTAAAAAAGCTTTAGATGTTATTTGGCTTAGTTGTTGGAGCCAAGACACAAACCTGGCTAAACCGTAAAAGCCCACTTAACCGTCAAGTTTTCACAAGTTTTGCCTCGCCAAAAAATTGCCCACCCGAAAGGCAAACAAATGTTGACATATTCAGAGGTATTTTCTTATCAGTTACTTTCGTGAAGATATGTGAGAATACGTATAGAAACTTTGCCGTTGGGCTGCAGTTATCAGTTTGCTATGTGTCAGAGAAGTTACGTTAGTTGAGCAGAGTCTATGGGCCATGGCCAACTATGGGGATTACGATAATTTGGGTAGATTTCAGATACTCTACATAATCTTTTGCACTCGAGTACTCATCGCTTGTTCCTTTTTAACTATCTTTTGCAGATGCACTCCTTGCCGATTTGCAGAACAGCGTGCCGGGACAGCCGGCACAGTCGCAGCCACAATACGGAACTGTTCAGCCCAAACCGCAGCAGCAGCAGCAGCAGCAACAATTTGTGGACAACACGCCCGGCTATGGGAGCCTGAGGGGCAAGGCGCAGCCACAAGTGGTAAGTGGCAAAGCATTCAGCTAATATTGATGATTATCTAATTAGCTTCACTCTTCTCAGTATCAGGAGCATTATAGCGTTGAGACCCGCTCCCCAACGGCTGCCGACTTTAATGGCAGCAGCAGCCAGCAGAGCAATGGCTATCAGAATCATCAAGCCACCGGCTCACTGCCCCGTCAGCCCTACAAGAATGGACAGGGTGGCGCGCAGAATAGCTCTGGTTTGTCAGAGCTCGACTCCCTGCTGCAAGATTTGCAGAATGCACGCTACAACAACTCGGCCACAGAGCGAAAGGGTGAGTAGAAAGAACTGATATATGAAGATACACACAGATTGTAATCTCTGCATCTTCCCACTCTTTGGTTGCAAGCAGATGTGGATGTGCCTGTCAATTACAGTTCGCCGGCGTCCAAATACAACACCTTCAACAGCTATACGTCCGTCGAGGAGCGACCCACTGTGGATAGCTTGCTCAATGAGCTGGACACTGCCCACATCTATGCGGTGCCAAATGGGTAGGTGCACTCTTCGCATATAGCTTCAACTTGAGCTCAACTAATGAGTTTCTTTACCTCCTTTAGATCTGCACACAAGTCTCCGACGCCAGGACGACATGTTACAATCACTGTGCGCGAAACGAAGACCGAGAAGCTCTCGGGACCAGATGGACCAGGTACTGTGCAATGTGCAGCTTACTCTATGTGCAAGTTTACTCACTTAATGTTCTTCGTCTCTGATTGTAGTTGGTTCCATTGAGGAGCAGATTGTGCAACAGAAGGAATCGTATTCACCAAATCTTGCAGCGCCAGCACCTCAGCATCAAGGCTACACATCGCAGGCCACCAAGGAATTGGATGATTTAATGGCATCTCTGTCTGACTTCAAGGTGAGCTGACTTATCAATACTCTTGTACCAGGTTCAACATTTTGTTAAACAATTAAATCTTTGTGTGTGTGTGTGTGCAACAGGTTCTTCAGGTAGTTCCTGAAAGTATGCAACATTAATCGTGTCTAGGCAAAAATCAGAACAAATTGCATTTGTAAAAATGCACTAATGCAATAAAGTATACAGAATCCAACCCACTATTAATTGGTACATATACCTTTTGTAAAGTTGATTGAGAACAGGCTTCATACAGTCAGTGATAATGTTACTATCAGGAAAATGATCGATATACGAATTAATAGTGATTTGGTTTGTATATTCTCAGTCAGCAGGCGTCATTGATTTAATTGTTTTACATTTGGATGTACAAAACTTTTAATTGACAAATATATAAACTAGAATATTGTTAACAGCTGTGTTCAGGCTATTAGATTTGTTAACGAGTTCTTTCTGCTTTGCTGAAAGATGATTTTAATTGGCAAACAAATTGGGTTAGCAATATAAGAACGAATTGAAAAGCTTTTCAGATGCAACTAAAAATAAACAAACTTCTTCAAAAAGCGTTCCAGTTCTGTTCAATGCAAATGTACATCTGGCATTTAATTGATTTTAGCCAACCAAAGGGATTAAAACAGATGCAATCAGTTCACTGCAATTGTTAATTCAGATTAGCTGCCATTATGATATTATAAGAACAAATACAGTTTTTTATGATTTCAATCTATTCATAGAAGAAAGCGTCCGCCATTTATTTAAAAATATTTGTAAGCCCTGACATTGCCTTCTGTTTGCCATCAACATTTTGTTATAATCGTATTTTTAAAAATTATATTTTTAAATACATTTTTTGTATTTTAAACACTTTAAATCTCAGAATAGGGTATCATTTACATTTATATTTATTTATTTGTTTGAGTGTCGACTAATACCAGTTGACAGAAAAATAAATAAATAAACAACTAAATTAAATTAAATTAAAAAATATAATTTAAATTAAAGAAAAATAAGAAAAAGCCATAAGATTTATTGCGGTATTTAAATGCAACATTTGTTGCATGGATTCTGAAAACCGAAAAACTCACGGTTGGTCAGAGTATTTCTCGTTGTTTATTTTCGGCACCAAATGTTTTCACTTTTTTACCTGTCGCCTGAGCAAATTAGATACATTTATATATATATATATGTGCGTATGCAGCGAAAGGCTCCTTTGTATACATTGTAAGAACTTTTGCTGACAAAAAGAAAAAAGAATATAAAAATACACTGTGATATTTTTAGCACATCCACAACATCCAAATCGGTGGACAAACGTTTAATTGTGTGTGTTTCTCATTAAACTTGTTCGGTATGGTAATAAAAACTATAAAACCAACAAAATATATCATGTCAAATCGTGTGACGCATGTCGCTCAAGCGAATCTAAAGACGCCACCTCGACTGTCCCTTGCACCTTTACAAAATTATACCACTCTTTATATTGAGTGATGGAAAGTCAGAGACACGAATAGCTCTTGACTTTGACTTGTGCTGTGTCAAATTGTAGGTGGACCATAAATTCTCATGCCACACAATAAAGAAGAAAACGATCACGATTCAAAATTCTTGTCGCATTTATGCGATTTATTGCACACGGCGCTATAAAACTAAATGCCAATATTTCTTCACATTAATAATAAATAGTAAACTCAACTCAGCTCAACTAAAGTCGTCTCTCGGTCCATAAAACAATCAATCAGTGACTATTAAGTCGAAAACAAAACATTTACCAGAGGATTTGCATTAGGCGCAAATGTTTCCGCTTTTTTGATTGTGCTTTTCATTTCTGGGATTTGTATTATTTGTATTATTTGTATTTTTATTTAGCTTGTGCTGCTTTCATATTTGCCGCCGAAAGTTGGCCGCATCTCGCAGCTCTGACAGTTGTTTTTAGAACTTGCTGTCTGACATTGTGCACAACGGATGGATGATGACGATGATATATCTTAACAGATGTTCTCTGCATTCTTCTTGTCATTTTTTATTCGACTCAGCAGTCGCCTGTTCCATATAAGTCAGTCAGCCCAGTTTTGTGTTGTTTTCTTTTCTTGTTTTGTATTTTGTCCATATTGGGTCAAGGCTGCACAACCCACCCTTGGCGGGTCCTTGGCGCCTGCAATGTGACAGCAATCACATTAATGCATTTACGACTTGTTTAAGCAATCAACTTGAGTGCATAACAGAACAGAAATGTTCAACAGAAATGTACTTTACTTATTGACATTGGTTCAATACTCTGTTTATTTCATTGACTTACGAAATATTGAATATGCTTTGATTTCGAAGTGAAATGAAAAGTTTATATTTGCCCTATTTTGTGGCATAGACTATAGTCTATATCTGTATACTCTATCCTTGTTGATTGTTTATTTCTTCTTTGGCTATGAGCAGTATATATAATTGGAAATTTTGTTTATTTTCATGCCATATAAAACAAAAGTGATTTTCCAAAAAGTTTGTATTTTTTCCCAATAATATTGAATGTTGTTATGAAAACTTAATTCCCTTTAACCTTCACGCACGCATCAAGTTGTCAAGTTGTCGTCTTTGAACAATATATTCTTTATGTATTTATATCGTACTTTTTTTTTGCCAAGAAAAGCAGGAAATGTATTACGCATTTAAGGAGACACTTTCAGAACGCATAAATGTTTTAAAGGCAGTTTTGATATAGCCACTTTGCTCTTTTTTTATTTGTTAGTGTCTCTTAACAGTTTATCGTATTATACTCCTGCGGTGGGTATTATGATTTTATCGAGCAGCTTGCAACACGTTGAAGATTCTGATAGATTATATATATTCTCGATCATCGAGCATCACTAGCCGAGGCGTTATAGTCATTTTCGTCTGTTTCTTTCAGTTTTCGAGCTTGACGAATTTGAAATGTAGACGTATTTTTGCTGTATTCATTTTTAAGTCTGTTGTAGCTATAAAGTTGGACTTTTATATAGCGATCCGTGCAACGATCGGTTGAAAGATGTTTTCTTGCATGAAGAACATTTCTGTTTAACAAAGATTCTTTTTAATATTTCTTATCTTTAACAAATATATTTTTAAGGTTGTTTAAATTCGTTAAATATAAATGAATATTGAGAATATGACAATACTTTTCGTCGTTCGTATTAAATCACTCAAATGTAAATGAGTATTGACAATATAAATAATTTTGTTAGTCGTTCGTGTCGAAATATTTGTAATTTGCCTGTTGCTTAACCTTTTGCGGTTTTATTACTATTATTAACACGACTGGCTGGCTACAAGCAAAACCATAATAAAAAATAAATAAATGGGTTGACGTTAAAAATAGCTAATGTAATCTGGCTCTTAATATATACAATTAAATTAATTAATTAAATAAAATACACAACAAACAATTGCTGTTGCTTAAGACTAAATTTAATTCAAATTAGCCAAGTTACAATTGCTCCAAAACTGTTTTATTGGTCAGGATGCGATTACTAAACTGTATTTCCCTGAAACATGCTCAGCTATAAATATTCCTTGTCAAATCTATGCCATATTAAATTAGTTCGAATCGGTTGGTTTTGGCTTAAGCAAACATTTAATTTTTTAATGAATTTATTTGCTATGCTTTTTAATTTGTGGCAATAAATATTCTATATAAATGTTGACCTTGCTTTTGCGACAAATATATAGAAACATCAATTTATGGCCATATCAGGTTCTCAAAAGGTGGCTGAGAATAATCTTTTGCCAATTCAGAAACTATCTCGTAATGCACTTAATTAGTTTGGGATTCTTCCTTAGATTACTGCCAACATGTAATTAATTAATAATTAATTACCAAGTGCTGAAGATTTTGTTGGCAATTCGTGATGGTCATCCAAAGATACAGACAACGTGAGTCATGGGTGGAAGGGGTCGGTGTATATTGGGGAGGGGGGAGGTGGGTTATTGAAAATTGCAATTCAATGTCATTGACGAATGCAGAGACATGTGCGAGTGTGTGTGTGTGTGTGTATATGTGTGTGTGTGTGTGTCTGTTTTGTGGCCGTGTTTGTTAATTATTTAATATCATTTTCAATTTTTGCCGTCGCTTTTGAGGCGTGGCGTGTCCGTGACTTTTGTTGATACGCCGCAAAGAAATGATAAATATGAAAATGAAATTGGCTAGTTGTGTCTGTGCGTGTGTCTGGTGTGTGTGTGTGTGTGGAAGGCGAAAAAAATAAAATACATGAAAAGTATATAAACAATATTGCACACGGCACCTCAGCAGAACTAGAACTGTGGTCGCTTTGCCTTGCCTTGCCTTGCTTTGCTTTGCTTTTGGGTTCTTTTTGGGGCGCCCACACGACACTGGCAGTCAGATGCTGCCGCCCCCTCACTGCGGCCACTGCCACAACCGCCCACCCCCCTGTCAACAACTTTTTCACGGAGAGCAGCTTGTTATAGTTTTTCTAATTTTTTTGTGATTTTTCTTCTTTTTTGTTGTTGTTGGTTTTGTAGCTTTTTCATTGCAAATCATTTGCACGTCTATTTTTGAACACGTTTTTTAATACACACACACACACACACATGTATATATATATACATATATATGTATTTATCGATGTGTGCTTTGTGCGTCTATATTTATTTCTCAGTGTGTGGATAAATATTGTATATTTTTATGCTCTTTTTCATTGCCGACCCGAATTGGCAATCTGCTGTCTGTTGAAACTGCTTCCCTCTGCGCCACCACCCGATAATTGCCCCCTGCCATTCATAAACAGCGCTCATTGATCGAGATTTCCTCCTGGCCTCTTCCTGTTCAGCTTGCGCCCGTTAGCCTCCCCTCCCCTTGCCACACCTTAGCTGCATCTATATATTGGGCAGCGTGTGCCACAGAGCAAGCAGCAGCATCGGGAACGTGCCCCTGCGCTTTTTATGGGGAAATCCTGTTGGCCACCCGACAAGCTTTCTGTTTTATAGCGCCCCAACGAGAGCTGCTGATCTTTTCAGTATATCTGGCTTGTGTGGACGCAACATTATTTCTTTTTCTTAAAATAGCCCCCAAAAAACCGCCAACGCTAATAAAATAAACCAAGTAAATCGATTGCAGTAGCGGATTGCGGGGGTTTTCAGCAATGGGCACTTCAAAATTTTGTTATTATCAAACTTTCAAATAGAGAATCATTTCACTGAATTTATTTAATAGAGGAAATGGCAACAATTCGAAAGAATTACTGATTCGCATATTATTTGGGGTTTTTTTTTAAGAGCTGAGAGTTTGAGATAGCAGCCACAACTGTATTTACATTTAGTCCAATGATTTCAATTCGAACCATGTTTGTTGTCTCTGATATTAAAAAGAGCAAAAGCAAAATTGCATCAAAGTATAAGGTTATTTTATAGGAGGATGTCTTTCCAATAAACACAGCTGCTGTGCATTAAAATGAACAAATAAATAGCTAAAAATCAAGTAAAGAAAAGTTTTTTGGATCTATTTGATCTATTTAAAGATGAAGATTTTATTTTGATTTTATTAAAAATGAAGAGTTAAAAACTATTCTGCTGAAATGTATTTTGATTAATTAAAGGACTGTATTGAGTTCCTGAAGCCAAACTCAAACAAAAAGTTCTTCGATATTTATTGATTGGGCATCCAAAGATTCATATCTATGACGACGTATGAGAATCAATATAATATATAATGCATTTTGGGTGTTGCTCATTCGATCTTAATTACATTTTTATATTTTATATAATGATAAATAAAATAAATGTAATCTTAACTTATATATCAAATTTGAAGTCTACACGATCCGGGTGCTCGTACCAGACGGGTAGACGGACATGTCTAGATCGATTCTGCTTTTTAAAAGACTTTACTTTTTTAGCACTTGTATAAAAAACTTGAGCTTCAATTGTTGTTTATAAATTGATAGCTGTTAATAAGAAAAACACTTTCGCTTTTGGCGCCCCTTTGGCTCCTGTTGGCCATTCTAGAACGTCACTGATCTCGCTAGATAAATAGATGGAAAGAAAGATAAACACACACACAACACACACACAGCACACATGTGTGTATTATATATGTATAAGTACAGCACTCAATTAGGCGTCTAGGTTAGTTATGGGAAGCATACACAGATACACACACACACACACACACACATAGAACAGAATATGAAAATACAAAGTTTATGAAAGAAAATTGAATGTTGAAATGGAAACTCGCACGACACGCAGCAAGAACAACAAAAACATTTGTAGCAGCATCTAGCCATTTTTGTTGTAAGAAAAATTATTTGAGGCGTCTCGACGGGTAAGAAAGCAAAAAGCAGAAAGCAAAAAGCAAAAGTTATTCTGTTGGCGCTCGCATAAAATTGAATTCAGTCGAGCCGAGCACATCGAGCAACGACGTAAGCGAATCTCCTTCTCCTCAGAAAAGAAAAAAAGCAAGCAAATAGACATCAACTAATTTGAGGCACTGTATTCCAACAGGTCAACAGCAGCAGCGCCAGCAACATCAATAGCAACAGCAACGGTTACGACCAGCAAACGGCAGGAAGCGCGCAACAGTTGCAACAGCAGCAGCATCATCATCATTATCAGCAGCATCAGCAGCCGCAGGTGACGGACTACGCACAGCCAAACAGGGGCACACAGCAGGCGCATCTGACGCAAACGATCGAGGAGACAACGATTGTCCAGGAGGAGGACGATAATCGCGAGGATCAATTGGATTCTATGCTTGGCAATCTACAGGCCAATATGAGTCGTCAAGGTGTCAATACGGTGCAGAAGGGCTGCTGCAATGCATGCGAGAAGCCAATTGTTGGCCAGGTGATTACAGCATTGGGCAAGACCTGGCATCCGGAGCACTTTACGTGCAATCACTGCAGTCAGGAGCTGGGCACACGCAACTTCTTTGAGCGGGACGGTTTCCCCTATTGCGAACCGGACTATCACAATCTGTTCAGTCCACGTTGCGCCTACTGCAACGGCGCCATTCTCGATAAGTGTGTGACGGCCCTGGACAAGACCTGGCACACGGAGCACTTCTTTTGCGCCCAGTGTGGCCAGCAGTTTGGCGAGGATGGCTTCCATGAGCGGGATGGCAAACCCTATTGCCGCACCGATTACTTTGAGATGTTTGCCCCCAAATGCAATGGCTGCAATCGTGCCATCATGGAGAACTATATCTCTGCCCTGAACTCGCAGTGGCATCCCGATTGCTTTGTCTGCCGGGTAAGTTAGCCCCTCTACCCTGCTCTCGCCTCCTCCTACTCATAACACATTTCTATAACAAATTACACAAGATTTGTATTTATCCAACTGTATATGTATGTATTATCTAGGATTGCAAGAAGGCTGTGCGTGGCAAGTCCTTCTATGCCATGGAGGGCAAGCCCGTCTGTCCGCAGTGTGTGGGCGTTGACGAGGAGGAGTAAGCAAACAGCAGCAGCAGCAACAGCAACAGCAGCAGCAGCAACTTGTTGAAGTTCAGCAGCACGAAAATAGCCCCCGCCTAGATACAAAAAATTGTTGTATCTTTATCCACCCAGCGTCAGCTGCGTGCCATTTTCTCACTCACAGAACGCAATCAGAACACGGTCTCTCTTCACATCTCTCGGGGCTATTTTCGTTGAAAGTGTGCACATTTTTGTGTGTGTTCACCCTTGCCGCGATTTGTTGCCACCTGCCATCCAGCAGCAACACACACGGCTACACATCAGCAACAACAACAACAACAACAACGTCTAAAGGAGCAGCAGAATCTCCCATTTTTTTTTTGTGTATTTGTTTCGGCCCCGGCGTCGGTTCTCCTCTGGGAACGGTGTACGGCTGACCACCAGGCAACTGGGCAGGTCGGCTGTTTGCCGCCTACAAGAACCGTACGCTCCTCTTTCACCTCCCTTGTTTATGAAAATGCCACCACCCCTCTGCGCCCCCTTTGTATGTGTGGCCCCTTGTTGAGAGTCTCCCCCCCACGCCCCCTTTTGAAAACTGTTGAACTTTTCTATGTATGCAAATTTAGTCTTAAGGTTTTTAGGTATTTTTTAAATTTAAACATTTATGAAGCAATATTGTAATTTGTTTTTGTAAATAAAATTTAAATAATTATAAAAAAACAAAACAACACACAAAAAAAACAACAAAAAAAAAACAAATAAAAACACAACCAAAAAGCACAACAAATATTCAATTGGAGTCTGACACATGGCTGGTTGTGCATGTGGCTAATGCCCCCCCGCCCACTTGCCAGGTCACTCCTTGCCAGAGTTCAAGTTCAGTGTCAAGCACTCTGACCTTGATATATCTCTCGATATGATCGCATGTCGCTTTCAGCGACCTTCAGTTGCTTTTGTTGTGCGTGTGTGTGTGTGTGTGTGTTGGCAAACAAATTACAGTATTGCTTCATAGATTTTTGGGATTAGATTAGTAAATAAGCAAAGTACGCGCTAGACCCCTGCCAGGGCGAGGGAGAGGGGGTTGCTTCAATGGGGATGGTCTTCACAACTGAGTGGAAACTATTTTGGTTGCTGACGTTTCGATCATAAATAAAATACACAAAACAAATTTAGGCAAATATTTGATATACATTTGATATATATATATATATATAACGATGTGTTTGCACTCACCAAGTACTTTTCATATATTGTGTATCTTCTTCTGCCCATAAATCTCAATAATTTCTTTCAATATTAATTTGATGTGCAAAACAGCTTGATGAAATCAAAGCGAGTGCAAAACTCTTACAAATCGAAAGGAATTTCTCTAGGGCATTCTACAGTTATCAGTTGTCACTTTTCCAATTTCACATGCACATTTCCAAAAATAAACGAATGCATATTTAATATATTTATAACAGATTCTTTTCCCATTCAATATAAATTCCAATGAAAGTATTTCTATATGCAAAGATGCCAAATGTGTGCACATTTCTGAATTCGCCTCAGTTACAAATAGCTGCTAATAATTTGAAAAAAAAAAAAAACAATACTTCAAGAAACAATTGCGCCTGTTATTAAAGATAATATTAATGATAGCATTTTGGGTTAAGCTTTGCCCTTTAAATCATTTGGTTGAAGAGTTTGTGTCTCTTCAGCTGTTGCTATTATTTTAATATAATTTTGCAGCAACGCTGAAATCACTTGAAGATAAAGCTTTCCGGTCAAGCAGGAAGTCAGTTTACAAATTTGATACTACGCACATTGACCAAAATAGTTGTATTATCCAAAAATTCCAAAATCTTTATCTGTTGAACTTGTTTTGAAAATTATATTTCTTGGAATTGACTACGTTTTCAATTTCCGATTAAATGTTTTGGATGCCCCAAGTCAATTGCATACTTTAGATATATATATATATATATTTATTTAGATATTCATTTCCGAAAGTGATTGGATGCCCCCAAGGCCATATTTAATTTACTTTTGTCGCGCCTTTTTCAGATTGGCCAAAAGCGTGCGCAAAATGTTATTGTTAAAACAAATGTGATTTGTTATTGCTATTGTTGTTGTTGTTGTTGTTATGGCTGCTGATGCTGATTTACAAATGTTTTTTCCGAAAAGTATTTTTAAAAAAAAGTCGTCCCAAAATGTGCCAAAATGTATCATTTTGATCGTTGGCTATTCTTATTTTTATTTTTCAATTAGCAAAAAGACCATTTTAAAATTGGCTTGCAGAAACATATATTGACTTTATCTGTGTGTGTGTGCGTGCACCGCCCACTGTGCACAGTGGTACAAGCGACAAGCCAAATCACATTTCAATATTTCGTCTGGCAATTTTCTGGCATGATAATTGGTCTACTGAGGCCAGGCATAAAATTGCACGGAATTGCAATTTGCAAAAATATATATCTTAGCCAAGACACAGAAATCGGCGATGCTATATGCTACCATATGACCGCTAAGTTATAGCTGTAATTAGCGTTCGCGGCAGCGAAAATTTTAACGACACTTGTTCTATAATAGATCATTCAAAATGTGTTCTTGTATTCTTGTATATATCTGCTTATTTTAATTATATTTGTCGTATCATTTATGGCGCAGTAACATATTCTAAATATTTCGGCACGATTTCCGTTCGTTATTTGGTGTTTTTGCAGGACTGTCGACAACCGTTCCAAGGTGGCTCGTTCTTCGATCACGAGGGACTACCGTACTGTGAGACACATTATCATGCCAAGCGTGGCTCGCTCTGTGCCGGCTGCTCGAAGCCCATAACGGGACGCTGCATTACGGCGATGTTTAAGAAATTCCATCCGGAACATTTTGTGTGCGCCTTCTGTCTCAAGCAGCTGAACAAGGGCACGTTCAAGGAGCAAAAGGACAAGCCCTACTGCCACGCCTGCTTCGACAAGATATTCGGTTGAGACGGTTCGTGAAGATGGACTGGTTGGCCTGGATGGACTGGACTGGAGCGATGATATCCAACTGCATAACCAACCCATTTAGTTATGATATGATGCTGTTTTTTGTACGATTTATGTCTTTTTACCAATAATACTTGCAATAATTCATCTGTGCTTTGTATAACCGAGTCAAATTAGTCATATAAAATTAACACAGACACTCGATACGATCAGAATAATCAATTAGACGACACTAATACCCAAGCCAATAAAATGGTCAAACGATATTTCTGCCATTTGAAAATAAAATCATTACAATAATTAATAAATGAGCTGTTGAATTTTTTACATATGCATGTGGATTGTCGACAATTGATTAATTAGTTACAAAATTAAACAAGTAATACAAAAAGTCGACATACAAAATGGGAAAAGTGTAATTATTTCAAAAGCTATCGTCCGAATTGGTGGCAAATTATAGTGACAAGCATTTAAGCGAAGACACGAACCCGCGCAAGCATCACTTACTGGCAATGGTCAGTTTCTGGCGGGTCGACTACAGTTTTGACTGCATATGTATCTTATTTGCTCACCATCTGCGCACACACACCGTCTTATGCTCTCCCACACTCTTTCGCTCTCAGTCTCTCTCACAAGCATATGTGCGGTTCTTATATCTAGTAAAGATGCCGGCCGGCTGGCTGTTCGCTTGCCGGCTCGCTCGCACTTGCCACTTGACATTGAGCTCAGCCTGCGTACTCACGCCAACGTATTAATGTGTGTATTTAACTTCCCTCTCTCCAAAATTGCTGCATGTGTGTGTTGTATGTGTGTTTGTATGCGTTGCGTCGTTCCCTATAAACGTAGGGTTCGCATCACGAAAGGTTTGTTATGAATCAGTCGGCGTCGAAGTCGCTTCGTTCATTCACTCACTATTTATCCGTTCGCTGTGTCGGTTCAGTCGCCGCTGCCGGTCCTCGCAATTGTATTCGCATTGGCCGCTCTTGCCTCGTCACATTTTTCGTATCGCAGCATTTGTATCTGAATCACGCGGTCCAATTTCATTTTTTGCATAGCTAAAACTGTGTATTCCTGGCTTAAACAAAGAGCGCGAAACTCCCAAGGTAATCAGATAAGAGCGAGCAGCAAGTGAGCAAAGAAAAAGGACAACATTTGTCGGTGGAGTCAGAAAGGAGCGCTACAGGTTGGTGCACAACAAACAAACAAACAAACACACACAGGCAGAGAGACGAACACACCTGTACACACACACACACACACTCAAAGATGATATCACTTGACTCTCATTCGCATTCAGTTTCATGCCGAAGAACTGTTTACATGCAGTTATTGTTGCGGTGATGTAATAAGAGCCTATGCTCAAGTCCTTAACAAAACAAACACACTGGCAAAAGCGCTCAACGTGCCAGTTGCACAGGGTGTCATTTATTTTGACTATTTTCTATTTGCACTGCCAGTCCTAGTCGAAATTCGATCAGACTCAGTCACGCACGCCACCCGCATAAACAACAGCGTCAAGCAGATAGAGCGAGAAAGAGGGAGAGCAAGAATACCAAAACAATTAAGTTTACACACACCCACACGCGCACACACACACATATACAGGCACACAGAGAGTGAGAGGAATCAATTGCCCGCCAGAATGTCAAGTTGTGTCTGTGTTTGTTGATATGTTTTTGCAGCAATTTGTCAATGATTGCGCTATGTAAATAAAAGTGAAATTCACTATTGCAGCTTTTATTATAAGCGTTGCTCTTATTGTTAATGCCAATTACGGCACTTGAATTTATTTTTAAGTTGCATTGTAAATTCATATAGCAACCGCCCCAACACACCGCTGCATTATCCCAGACCAATGCTTCGAAAACTGTGTGTTGGATACATATGCATTTACATAAGTTTGTATTTATTTGGGAGGGTGGGAATGACATACAACACGCAATAATCGCTTACTGATTAATGATAAACAGTATTTGTTGTCCGTCAATCAGATTTTATGTGCAGTGTTTTGCTTTTACATCTAAACATACATTCAAGCTCGCTGATAAATTGGCTTTTAATGGAGTTAAGCGCATGTCACAAAATGTCTGCAGTTTTAGAGGCGTCCACGTACGTTTCACTGTTTGAGATCGACTGTATTAGCTGTACGCTGAACAGTTGCTCTCCAACTTATGCTGTATTTACATTGCTTATCGCCCAAACTGAACAATTTCTTAATTTACCTTTCTGAGATCTAAATGTGTGGGTCTCTTTGCAAAATAAAGTGTACTCTTTCTGATGCCTTATAAAAAATTAAAATAATTACCTATATTCTCATAAATATATATATGCAAATATAATAAATTCTTCAATGAATGAATATAAAAATGTATATCTGAGAATTGCACCCAGTCGAAATAATCTTTCCAATAGCTATCTATATCCATAAACGAAAAAAATAAATAAAATCGATATGTCAAAAACTTTTCTACCTCAATAATAATTTATTAAATTAACGTCATTGTCTGTGCCCAAAAACAAAAGCGTTAAAGCCGTGCCCAACCCTCGACTGCAGATCAAAGTCGAACAAATTGAGGCGGAAACGTAACCCAATGATTGAATTACCAGGAATGGGAACAATTATCTTTATTTTGGTATATTAATAATATATCTGACTTATGGACTATCTGAGTAAACAATAAATGTAAAAAATCCCCACATATCTGCAAATCCAAATTGTGCTTTACATATACCTGATAAGATTCAAAAGTCTTTAGTCAGCCTACGATAAGAATACACCCATTTGAACTAACTTCCTCAAATCGCAATTTTATAATTAATTAAGTTAAGAATTGATTAGAACCCAACCGGAATTAATTGAGCTACAAGAAGAGTATTGATTCGTCGATATTAACCACAGTTTTTATATTGGCTGACGCACGCCCCCTTTTCTATTCTTATTCCAGTTCTCTTTGAACGGGGTAGCAAACGACTTCTGTGGTTTGTTGTTGCTCAGCAATTGATTGCATCATATTTCCTCATTTTTCTTCTTCTCCCCACAGTTATGAGTGCAAGCAACACATTTATCTGTGCATTCCACTGTAAAACAGTAAAACATGCAAATATGCTGCGCGTAATCTATATTTATTCAAATATCTCTGAGGTATACATATATAAGCTCTTCTCTCTTATACCCTGTACTCATAAAAGCTTCCAAGAGAGTCTGATAAGATAATAACAGAGAGCGAGACCCCCTGGGAAGGTGAAATTCACATAAATAACGAAATAGATGTCGAAGAATTTCCAAGTGGCAACAGAGGCAGATACAGGCAATAATAAATAGATGCCGACTAATTTTCAAGTGGCCACATTGTATCTGCCTCTATTTATTATTGTCTAGTCATATTTTATTGATAGAGAGCGAGAGAGAGATATTGAAAGAGAGAGGTGCTAATAGGGCATTTCAGATACGAGATGAATATGTATAAAAAGCGCTTAGTTTGTGCTCCCCATTTATCATCCAGTGTCGTATTCTTATCACACACTGATGCTAAGAATTTTGTTTCTGTCTATGTGCTAATAACTACTAAATTGTTTTTGATATAAGCGGAATTCGACATGCTCTCAGCACCTTCAATTTGTGTCTCATTTGCACAGTGGAGCTGCAAACTAAATTTTTGTTTTTGATTAAAATATTTGATTGGTTTTCATTTTTAAATACATATTTACAAGTAATTTTCGAATTTATTCAATTTTAACTTTAATATTTTTGAAATAAAAAATAAATATAAATTTGCAACTTTTAACATTAACAATACAAATGGCTTATAAAATGTAATATTATTTTTATGTATGCATGATATGAAATTTTTGATAAGATATTAACTTTTTATTATGGTTAATGGTTCATAAATAAACTATTTCGGCTAGACCTATAATCTTCCATAATCTTCCATAATTCGTAGATTGCTTGGTTTCTTATAAGCGGCACTTTTGTCATAGCCATCGGAAATACTTTTGTGCTCACGTAGTCGCGCACTTTATTACTCTTCAATAATTGCTATAAGAAAGTCTGGATTTTTGTACGGGCGAAAAATTGAGTATTTGCTTATCATAAGTACCTTTGCACTTCCTTCGAATTCTTTTGCGTTTCACAAGAGTTAGGAAATTGGTGTCTGCGAGTGATCTTATCGTAATCATTTATAGGAGATTCGATATTTGAAATTTGTTTGACTGCTGGGTGAGTTAATTTTGGCTGTGACTGTAAGGCCTGTCAAGCTCTTATCATCGAACAGTGACTGTCAAACAGCGACGTGCTAGTTAGCCATGTAACAGTTGCTCTGCAACTGCGCCAGTCAACCGGCTCGTTATTTGCTGAAGGTTTGCAGCTGGTAACCGACTGTGTTCTGGTTACGAATTCTATATTACTAGGGCTTCGTAGTTGGCTGAAGTGCTCTACTTCAATTGCAGCCAAATTGAACATTACATTCTCGTACTAAGTACCGTAAACAACTCAGCTGATCACTCATTTCTGATTTGATTTCTTTGAATTTCTGATTTGCAGCTACATATATCTATATATATATATATAGATAAGAGAAGTTTAGACATCACAAATAGGAGTACAGGATGGAGAAAATGGACACAAGCTTTATTCCCGATCTGCCAACGGGCGGACCACTTGAAGTTTATCGCAAACGTGCCAATTTTGACTGGAAGCGTTTACGCTTGATCTTAGAAAAGGAGCAGGGATTGCGCATTAAGGTGAGTGATGAATAGAGTAAAGTGAAAATATGTAGAACTTTATATAAACTGAAGCATATTTATCTATTCCGAATAGTACAAAGTGTGGCGTCGTCTGGAAAGTGATCCCCTTTTTGCACACCCCTCACGCACACCGCCCATGGACCAACAGAAGCGTCTGGCTGCCATGCAGGTGAATCGAATGAAGCAACTGCAGCTGGTGCCCAAGGAGATTGAGAGCCTGAGCTTCTCGGCCAAGACAAAGTATCTGATGGAAATCAATCAGGCGCTGGCGAGCTACTCGCCCAGTCTGTCAGTGAAGATAGCCCTCAGTGTGGGCCTGTTCAACAATGCGATACGCGCCATGGGCACCGAGAAGCACAAGAAATACATTGAGGCTACCTGGAATCGGGAGGTGATCACCTGTTTGGCCGTCACAGAGCTCTCGCATGGGAGCAACACGAAGCGTATTCGCACCACGGCCACCTATGATCCCCGCATGCAGGAGTTTGTCATCAATACACCGGATTTTGAGGCGGCCAAATGCTGGGTGGGTAATATGGGCAAAACGGCTACCATTGCGATGACCTTTGCGAATCTGATAACGGCAGACGGTGAGAATCATGGCCTACATGGATTTCTCATACCCATTCGTGATCCGAAAACGTTGATCTCGTATCCGGGCGTACTTGTCGGTGATATTGGCGAGAAGTCTGGCCTAAATGGCATCGACAATGGCTTTGTGGTATTCACCAACTATCGCATTCCCCTCGACAATCATCTCAATCGCACCGGAAATGTGACACCCGAAGGCGTCTATGAGAGTGTCTTCACCGATCCCAGTCAAGCGCTGGGCGCCGCACTCGAGAGCTTCTCCGCCGGACGCGTTGGCATCATGCAGGAGGCGGCCAATACTCTGTGCAGTGCGGCTGTGATCGCTGTCCGCTATGCGGCTGTCCGTAAACAGTTTGGCCCCGAACGCCAGGGCGAGGAGATGCCCATCATTGAGTATCAGTTGCATGTAAGAATCTAGAATCCCAGAATCAGAATTTGAGAATTGAGGATAAACTCTTGATTTACACACGCAGCAATATCGCATCTTTCCCATCTTGGCTGCTGCCTGTGTGCAAAAGATTGCCGTCGAGGAGCTGAGCAATACTTATCTGGCGATCATAGCTGGCTCTCAGGATGATTCCAATGGATTCGATGTACTTGTAAGTGTAGTGAGGCAGTAGACTGGTGTATCCATATATGACACTTCCATATATATTACAGTCACAGAAAGCAGCTGAGATTCATGCGATTATCTCGGCGTCCAAGCCGCGTCTCACTTGGTCGGCACGCGATGCCATTCAGGAGGCGCGCGAATCATGTGGTGGCCACGGATATCTGCAAGCCTCCCGTCTGGGCCAGATGCGCTCCGATCACGATCCGCTGTGCACCTACGAGGGCGATAACAATGTGCTCGGCCAGCAGGCATCTAACTGGCTGCTGCGCCAATGGAACGCCAAGGAGCTGGAGACGCCAATTGGCAGCGTTAAGTTCTTGGAGCGACGCCACCAACTGCTGCAGTTGCACTATGCACAACTGGTGCAGCAGAGTCCAATGGACACCTGGGAGTGTAAGCAAACGAAAGATTTACACATCTGTAGATAATTGACTAATCGCCGTTATTTTCTTGCAGTTGCGCTCAGCTGCTACGAATGGCTGCTCTGCCATCTGATGTCCCGCACCAGTGCCCACATCGAGACCCAATTGAGCTCAGGCGTGCATCGCTTCGAGGCGCGCAACAATGCGCAGGTGGTGGGTGCACGGCAACTGTCGCTGGCCTTTGCCGAGTACATGGCGCTCAGTGGCTTTGTCGGTCACGTGCGACAGTTGGGTGTGGAGCAGCCGTATGCGGAGGTGCTGCGTCTGCTGTACGATGTGTATGCCATGTGGCTGCTGGAGCAGCATATGACCATGTTCTACGTGGGCGGCTTTGCTGTCGGTGGCGCCTTCGCTGGCGCTGTGCAGGAGCGTCTGCTGCAGAGCTGTGCCAAGCTAAAGGATGTGGCTGTGAGTGTGGCAGATGCCATTGCTCCGCCAGACTTTGCCCTCAAATCGGTGATTGCACGTGCCGATGGGCTGCTCTACGAGAATTTGCAAAACGAATTTATGACCAACGAGGGCGCCTTCCAGCGACCCGATTGGTGGCGTGACGTCATCATCCCACAGTCCCAGGAAAAATCAAAGCTATAAGCAGACAGAGAGAGAGCTTAGTGAAATGAGAATGAATAAGTGCCTGGGCAGATCGATGGATCGGTCACCCAATTAACAGCAATTGTTATAGTTTCATATCACATCAGGTATTACTGCTAGTTCTAATAGAATGCATTCCATATACATACACAAATATCCATTCTATATACGCATTCTCTAAATTATCTATAACTTAAAAGCAATTCACAAAGTTCTTGTATATTTCTACTAGCACTGCTAGTAAGCCTCAGTTTCCATAATGTGGCACCGACTGTCGGGCTACAGTTGTATTTAATTTTGAAATATTGACCGTTTTTTCAGTATATCTGTAACAACATCATTCTGTATCTGTATATATATTTTATATTTTATTTTATTTTAATTTTTCATTTGTATGTTGTTGATTGTGTGCTTTGAAAAATATATATGTATTCAAATTAAATTGTATTAAAAAGTGTTTCATTTTTGCTTTATAATGTTGGGCAGGGGGAAAGCTGCTCCGACAGACCCAAAGTGGTTTGGATTAATATATGTGAAAAGATTAATTCGCAACTAAAAAAGAAAAGAAAAGAAAATATTATAGCACTGAATACCCCTAAGCCGGTTTCGATGCTTACGTTATCTCCAAAACTATCAATTGTTGATCGCATCACAGACTTTCTAAACATACTTGGACTTTATTATTGTTTTAGTCTGTTCAATTTTAATCAGTCAAAACTTATCAGGTTTACTAAGCTCCACGTAGGTTTTAAGAATTCGCTTGCATTTGATAGAGTCTTGTTTAGGTTAGGTTGTGTTGCCGTGTGGGATCTCAGGTAGATTTCTCCTACACTCGTGTATTAAATACCTCAAAAAGTCAGAGATTTGACCAGCCAGTTTCGTTTATAAATTTTGCAATCCTGGCCGGTCTTATGTTCGCTAGCTGTGATAGGCTAGTTAGGGAATAACTTCTCAGGATTGCCAGCAGTTTGCTGGCAAGTGCTGGGCAGAAGGAGAAGAAGTGTTTCGGAAATTCTACCTCTTCCTCTTCTTTGCAGCTTCTGCAGAAATCATTATGCGGCACCTGGCGTTTATTGGCATGAATGCCGACCAACCAGTGACCTGTTAGAGTTGGGATTTCACAGCTGTCTACTGTGCTTTGTGTTAATATTGGGTGATCTTTCGCCGTTTATCATTTGACCTGCGTCTACTTTCTTCCTTGATATTGAGCCTGCAGGTAGCTATGGCCTACTTATACCTTCCTTAATATATGGTAATAGAGTTGCTTTCCTAGCTAACTCATCAGTTGCCTTCAATGTCCTGGTGTCCAGGAACCCATAGCAGGCCAATAGCATGCCACTTATCCATCTCATGCAGAGATTTGCGATAGAGTCGAAATTCAAATAGTTAATTATAAGCCAGATTCTAAAATAGTTTTAATAGTTGTCAGACTTGTAAGGAAATAACTTAAAAGCTTTTATTCGTTTGTGAACACGGCTGAAAACAGAAACCATCTATTGTCATAATTAATCAGCTACCGAAGCGTATAAACAACTTTTTACATTCAAACACCCACCGCAATCTAAATATATATATATATATATATATATATATATATATATATATATATATATATATGTATATATACTCACACATACCTATATACATGTGTAAATATATCTTTATGTGTGTGTGTATGCATAGAGTAGGCATCATCATCAGCAGCAATGGCAAAAGGTGCTCGTCACTGTCAATAAATAAGTGTACTAACGAGCAGGCCAGGCCAGGCCGGCTCTGCTGCGAGCCCCGTTTATAAGAGGACCTGTACTTACCTGTTCCAGCTCAGACGTTGCACAGTTGCCGCAGAGTGCAGGTGAGCGTGATTCCGATCAAAGTTTAGTGAGTGATTCAGTGTGAGTGAGTCAGTCAGTCAGTCAGTGTGTGAGCGAGTGAGCGGCAAGAGTGTAAGCCTGGCTAACAACAATCGTGTCTGGCCTGACAATAACAATACAATTGAGCTCTGACAAAGCCAGAGACGAGCTCATCAAATTTATGACGCTCCCAAGTCGAATCAAGTCGAGCTGATGAGCAGAGAGTGCTGTGAGCCGCGAACTGAGAGATTTGTAAATAGACGCTTCGTTTGTTCTATAACTTTGTTGGTTTTGCAAATTTGTGGCGCAGTTTCAGTCTGTTTTTCGGCATTGTGTGTATTTGTTAGAAATTTGGGAAGGGCATTCATTTATTCGAGTGCTTATCAGCAGAACAACTTGTTCAACACATTTATAAAAAAAAACAGTGAACTTCAAAAACGTGTTAGTACCACAAAAAGTGTAAAGTCAAAAAACAAGAAAACACTTCTTCAATTTTGTTTTTCTGTTGTTGTTGTTGGGCTCCATAAATAAAGCTCCAGCGACATTCAGTCTGTGCGAATTTACGAAAGATATGTTAATTTGATGTCTGGTTTGGCTGGCTCTCGAAAAGAAAGCGCTGGGCGAGGGGAAAGATCATTTGTTATTCTGTTTTTAATATGCACAGTGGCTGGTAAATCCAAATTATATTATTGAGATCAGTCCAAAAAACCCCCAATAAAAAAAAACGCAGAAAAAGTGAGCTGCAATAATACTACTCATAAAATAAACAGCGTATGACGGCCAGAATTTATTATTAATAATTATAATAATAATAAACATATTCAACAAAGTACTTCTTGCTCGCATCTTCAAAGTGTTTTACAAAATGCGCACCAAATTTTAAATGCTTTTAATGAATAAACCATTTTTGGTTAATCGCAAATAAATAAAGAACCAACAACAAAATACAAAAAAAGAGCAACCAATTACCGAAACCGGTTTAGAAATCTCTGAGCTAGCAAATCGAACCGAAAAATATACAAAGTCATATAGAAATCCATTAATTTACATTTTGGGTATTTCCGCTTGAAATTTTTTTTTTTTTTTTGTTATTTTCTCACTTAACGGCAGAGGCCCACTTCACAGCTCGCTCGCATTCTATTTTACATATATCAACTCTCTTCTCTACATCATTTTCGCAATTTCATAATCGAAAAATCGTGTAACGGCAATTAACTGGGTGGCCAAAGCCGATGACAGGATTTGATCAAATAATTATGGGTTTGAATAAGCCTCGTGATGGGCTCAAAAGTATCTCCGGTTTTGGGGGATGTTCCCTCTAAACGAGAACAATTATATGCAGTGCAAGAGTATTAAATAGGCAATCGCATCATCAATTTGTTTGTTTGTCATATTAGGTAAGCTCTGATTAATTGATGCCGCCCCTTAACCTTTACTTATAATAAGTGAGAAAGCGGGAAACAATGGCAAACAATGGGATACTATTCCTATAACAAATTGCATTAATTGCAGATGAGTACTTTGTTCCTGACTCCCATATATATCTATGTATATATATACATATAAGTTTATATAAGCTCATTATCTAGGTGTATCAGCAAAATCTTGTAATTAATACAGACGACTCAAGTATAACATCTCAATTCGAAACCGGATCGCTTACACATAATCCAAGACCTGTTTCAAATATTTCATTTTTAATACTTAATTTTTTTGTTTTGTTTTTAGCATTAACCAACCGAATTTATATTGCAAATGCCAATTGAATAAAATGTGGAAATTTTTACTAATTTGTGTCGTTATGAGCAGTTTATACAATGAGAGTGATGCCGTAGGTGAGTACATAACAAATGACAGTCATCACCACACATCTATTAAATATTTACTATTCAACAACATTTATTTTTTTTGCTTTAACACATTAGCACTTTTTCCATATTCTTGAGATTGTAAAAAATGTGGAGAAAATAAGAATATTGCGAGTCAAAGATTAATTTATCTGAAATCTGATGAAAAGAAATGGAAAAAATAAGAACTACTGTCCAAAGCAGATGAATCCGAAAGCAAGCCAAAGATTAATCGTTCTATTAGTATATGAATTTTAGAGAGAAATAGCTTGATCTTTGGTGTGGTCTTTTAAAAAACCCATTTATAATTAACACATATAAACTGCTTAAGTGTATTGCTTTAGAAAGCTGTTTCGTAATCTTCGAATGTTCCTCTCACTTTTATAATTTGTTTTATTGTTTTTTATTGAAGAAGAAGTCACCAAATTTAGAAAAGCCACCTGTATCAATTTTATAGTTCCTGAGCCAGTTTGGGCAAAATATTTACAAAATATCTCACTTAGAGTATATATAAAAAACATCTTAAGATATGGCATAAAATTTATATTCAAAATAAGAAGGTTTTAAATTGACGAAAAGGAATGAAATATCTAAAACAAATTTAAGATACTTAAATTGAATTTTCGTTTTTTAGGGATTTCAACTATCAGAAATAATGACCAGGGAGAATACAAGTTGGGAAATCTTGAAAAATCTGTTGCCAAAAACTATCTCAATCGGCTCTATTATAAATAAATATATACAAAAATATTATTGACCATCAAAAATGAGGAATAAGCCCATTAGTTAATTAAAAGTAATTTTTTACATATATATATATATATATATTATCGTTTCTAATCTTGCGAACTGTGTCTGTATTCCAGCACGTAGAGCTGTCCGCCGCCGTCGCGGCTATGCCGGCAGCTATGCGGGTGGCTATGCCAATGGTGGGTCAGCTGGTGGCTACACTGGCGGCTACAATGATTACGATGACTATGGCGGCGGCTATACACCGTACTTTGGCATCACGGATCCCTATCTGTTCCATCAGCAGCTGACCAATCAGATTCTGGCCCAGAACTATGCGACCCAACAGTAAGTTGAATGTTATTTGTTGGGTGGTTCATCTTTGAGTAGTTTTTAGTGGGCGATGGTGATGCTAACAGCGCTTGTAATCTATTCTTGTAGAGCTATAACGGGACTGGCCACTTCTGGTGATGCGTCCGTATCCGCGGATGCTGCCATAAGCGACGATGACACGTAATTACACAAAACTGCTTTTTTCCACTTGTCAATAATTTTCTATACTAATCCGCATTGTGCGTGTGTGGTCCGTGCTAATCAGTTGCTAATCCTCGTCCCGTTTCCCGCATCCACTTTCACAGACGCATTCAGCATCAGATCGCTGCCAATAGCAACCGAGGTGGAGGTGGCTACAATTCGCATCGCTATGCGCCCAGCTATGCCGCTGCTTCTGGCTCGATTGGATCCAATGGATACAGGCAGACTGCCTACATTAGTCCCGCCAATCCGGTAAGTTCGTCAGTGATATTCTACTTGCTTGGATCTTAAGCTAAGCTACACCTTCACTTTTCTTTTTACAGGCCCAACCCAATATTGTGAATCGCTTTGGTGGCAGCAGCAGCGGTGGTGGTGGTGGCTATAAGGGCGTCTCCGTCTCCTCGTTCAGCACCAGCAATGGCGATGGCACCAGTCGACGTGGCGCCCAGACGACCGTCAACGATAATGGCAAGGTGACGTCATATTCGGTGCACTCGTAGAGCTGACTTGACTCAACTCAATTGAATTCAGCTCAACTCAACTCAATTTTTGGTGTTTAGCATATTATAAACCTTAAGAACGCTAACAGTTCTCTATTTATATGTTACAATACAAATCAAAATATATACATACATATATAATATATATATATATATATAGTTCTTATAACATATTTGCAATTTGTGCGACTTTCATATTTAATGGGTTTTTGCCATGACAGCGAAAGTTTATTGCTACCTTTCTACTGATAATTGTCTATTTAAATAAAAATACAATTTTTGCTCACAAAAATCCTATTGACCTTGATTTAATAGCTCTTAAGTATTATATTTGAACAATCTGCTATATAGTATGTATGAGTAAATGTTTGACAGATTATTAGCCGGGCAAAGTTTATCAGGCGCCACAGGAAATTGTCTATGTATTGTTAATTAATTTGACTCATTAGGAACAGTAATTATTATTGTATTATCTCGTATCTCCTACTACTACCATATATAAGGCAGCTAAACTGTAGACAATGTTCCTATTGATCTAAACAGTCTTAAGGAATACGTAAAAAATCTCAGGTAAGTTCAAACTATAAATTAATAATAATTTTTGCAGAGCATACAAATCTCATATACATCTCAAGTTGAAGGGGAACTTCCAGTTCTAATCAGTTAAATTTCGATTATTAGCATTTAGCGGAAGTAATAAAGCAGAGGCTTCTGTTTGTAAACAACTTACAATTTTTTTTTTAAATTTACAGATCATAAAAATAATCAGTCAAATTTGATTCCGGGAAACGTCAAACAAAATACACTTGAAACGAATGCGCAAAAATAACCCATGCGTAAAAGAACCTGTTCTGCTCCTAAGTGAAGGGAGTATTATTTGAAATTGCAATCGAATACCATATTTAATTCTTATTTATTTAAAATGAATTTCTTGCATATAATATATAAATACGAGTACTATAATTATGGCAACTAAATGACTGCATATATTTTATCTATTTCTATTTCATCAAAACATGAAAATATAGTTGAAAATTAGAATGAAACTCGTTGGGAAAAAATTACTGCTATAAGAACGCAAATAATTATAGCCAATCCTTAAATTATGCTTTTATATAGCTATTATATAATTATTAAAAATCTTAAATATATAGATTTAGCTAGATTTGTACAGGTAAAATTTTGCAATCTTGCTCAAACGTCAAATAAGAAAGAAAGAATAAAAAGCGTTCACCTTTTTGAAATACATATTTCTAAAATATTATATTTTTCAATAAATTAATATATAATACTATTAAAAATATGTGTATATGTATATAAAAGTATCAATCAAGAATAGCTGACGTATACAATTCATAAAAAAACAACGCTTAAATGACGATTTGCATAATCTTTGAAACTAAATATAAAAATTGAAAATGTTAGATTAGAAAATCATGAATTCCTTCACCTAATGTAAAGAGAGAGAGAACAACTAGTTATATATATATAGACATATATGTAGTAAAATGTTCTAATGCTCTAATGCTTCTATCAATGGCAGACTCATATATATACTCATATTTATATATATTCTCATCAGAACTGTACATAGCAGCTATGTATGAGTATTGTGTGCATCCCAAGGTTTCGACACGAAAACAATTCCTATCAGCTGTATATATAGAAGCTCATACAAGGTAATAAACCTACATGTATGTATATATATATATATACATTTGCATGTCGCAATTACTTTCATCATTGTTTGAAAAAAAATATTTATATATATATTTTCAAGATTTTCTGCACCAATTCCGATTTGAATTTTATTGAATCGACATCCATAGACATACAGACATTATCTGCTCTCTAGGTCAAGAAGCTGTTTCAATCTGTTTCAAGTCCGAGTTGAGCTCAGGTCTTATCAATAATTGTCTGAGCCAATCGTCTGGTTTTTAAAGCGAGTTGCCAACGCTCCTGCTCATTAGTACAATTTCAGGCGTGAGACTCGCACGGTTTTTTCTACGCTGCTAAAATATACATTTTTCAAGCAACTCAATATGAGATCATTGTTGCTGCTCGCCCTCTGCCTGGGTGTGGTCTGTGCAGGTAAAGAGCTGTTCCTATTTATGTATGCCCAAAGACTGGCATAAAGTGTTCAAAAAAATCCTTTTGACGTTTCCCTATTTGGTGACAATTGCAAAACGTGTTTTAACTCGTTGACTTAATCAGTCGTTGTGCCGAATAAACTTTTAACACAACACAAATTGTGCAACGTGTGACTTACAGGCATGTGTCGAGATTAGATGACGCCACACTTATTTGAATTACCCAATTAAAAATACAATCAAAAAATAGTAAAAAACGAATAATAAAAATACACTTTTTAATGTTTCTCTTGCAGATTTCCAGGACAGGTAAGTTGGTCAATGTGAAAGTCAAGAAGAACTTCAACTTTGATAATTATATTTTGTTTATCTTGGGTAAATAATGCTTAGACTCAAACGGGACGATTTCCACAGTCGGTAAGTGCCCTGCGGCAAATATTGAAGATATCATTTTGTAACTGACAAAATAGAAATTTCCAATTGGCTACATGGTACTAACACTACTACTATATAATCTTCTAAATAATTCGGCACCTATAAAACTGTACTTTTATACTTTTTTTTTAATCTAAGTCCTAATAAGAATCACCTTGCTTTTAAATCCCATCCTTAGCCATTACAATGCGCATCAGCAGGCAATTGAAACGGCTCGCAGAAAGGCCTACGGCTCCAGTGGCTACAGTTCTGGCGGATCGGGCGGACTTGGAGTTGGTGGCAGTGCGGATCTCTCGCTTGGCGGCGGTGCTTCATTGGGCAACTTGGAGAGCTCCTACGATTCGGTGGGTGCCGTTGAGGGTGCCGACAGCAGCTCGAGCAGCGGTTCCGGCTATGGTTCCAATAGTGGCTCTTCTTTCGGTGCCAATAATGCAGCTGGCTTCGGTGCCAGTAATTCAGCTGGCTTCGGTGCCAGTAATTCTGCTGGTTTCGGTGCCAGTAATTCAGCTGGTTTCGGTGCCAATAGTGGCTCTTCTTACGGTGCCAGCAGTGGCTCTTCTTTCGGAGCGAACAGTGCCTTCTCCTCGAACTCGGCATTCCAGACCAGCGCCAACTACAACAGTGCACAAAGTGCTGGCAGCAATGTGCAGTTTGCTGATGCAAGCAATGCTGGCACTGAGGTCAACTTTGGTGGTGCAGGATCAAGCACTTCCGAGTCGCTGCACGCTAGCAATCTGCAGGCACCTTTGGCTTTAACCGCACCAGTTAGCACCGGTGGCAATGTGGAGTACATGCATCACGAGCGCGTTGTGTCCAGTGCGCCACAGCAGGTGGTTTATACAGTGCCCGGTGGCGCCCAGAGATACGTGCAGCATGTGGAGCGCGTTGTCGAGCAGCAGCCCACGGTTCAGTATGTGCCAGTTCCTCAGCCCGCGTCCACTTCGGAGCATTATTATCAGCGCAAGGTGACAACTACTGCCTCGGCACCACAGATTATTCAGCAGCCCGCTTCTAGGTACACCTCAAACACTGGCTCCGCTTTTGGCACCAACTCCGCCTTCAAGGTCAACCAGAATGTCGGCTTCGGCAGCAACTTTGGACACCAAGCCCAGCTATCCGCTGGTCAAACGAGCGGCGTTCACTTTGGCGCCGGTAGCTCCCAGTTGAATCAGCTGATCAACCAGGCTCATCAGACAGCAAGGCAGCAGGCAGCCTCTGGCAACTCATATAGCGGCGGTGCTGGTCTGGCCTCCTCCAATCAGATGCAGATGGGCGGCTCCAGTGGCTTCAACTCCAACTATGGTTACAATGCGGGCAGCTCCATGAACTCCGCCAGCTCCCTTAACTCTGCCAGTTCCCTGAACGCTGCCAGTTCAATGAATGCAGGCAACAGTGCCTCCCTCACGAGTGGTTCGCTGTTGGGCGGTTCCCTGTTGGGTAGCTCCCAGTTGGGCGGTTCTCTGTTGGGTGGCCAGTACCGTGGCTCCCTGCTGGGCGGCTCCTCGAGCAACAGCCAGATGAATGCACAGAATAACTTTGGTCTATCGACGGGTTTCTCAAGTGGACAGCAATTGGCGGGCTCTGGCAACTTTGGTGCTGGCGCAGGCCTTGGTGGCAATAGTGGCTACCAGACCAAGCAATGGGAGAAGCAATCCAAGTGGTCTTCCCAGTCTGAGGTGAGTTCGATTTTAGACATGAAAAACTCTCCATTGTTTGTGTACAAGCAAAAGCTTGTGCATTTGTCTAGATGCGTGCTTAATTGTTTATGTATCTTCAATTATTTCCACAGTACGATTCGGATGGACATGTGAAGAACTACAAGGATCTGGCCACTGGCGAGAGCGAGAGCCAGAATGTGAATGGCAAGCAGGTTGGCTACAATGCAGCCACCGCCTCTGTCGATGACAATGGCAAGGTCAGCACTTACAGTGTCCACTCTTAAGATACCCCTCACCAAAAGCTGTAACTGTAGTAGTAACGAATTTCACACCTACCTCGTAGTAGGTTAACAAGATGTCAACAATAAAATAAAATAAATTTCAAAAATAATAATAATAATTTGTTGTTTGCGTTCGTCTTAAACGTCTCCAGATGGATTTTTGATCTTTTTGATTTATAATTGGAATCCATTTTATTCGGCGCATTTCTTTGTGGAATTGAATCATTTTTTCTACACAACCAATGCAGTTATTTTTGTAAGCAGTGTAATTTAGATGGAGATGCGTTGTTCAGGAGAAGGGCTGCTCCAACTTGCCATCGATGTGCACAGCGTGACTTTTGACTATACCCTTGATTCCAGTGTCGCTTCTTCTGTTGGTCTTGCTATCCCGACGACGTCTGTAGTCGGTGCCATATGAGGACATGCAGTAGCAGGGCTTCCAGGAGGGGCGTCGTTGCACCTGGCTCTGCTCATGCGGTGAACGCTCTGTGGTCCACACGGGCACATAGTGTGTCCAGCTTTCCCCGTTGCGATAGATGTTGCCGGCATCCACACCGGCACTCGTATACACATGCTGTGGATAATACTGCGGATAGTAGCCATCTGAGCTGGACCGTGAGCCACCTCGACTGCCGACATCGTAGCCACGATGCTCGCTGGAGAAGTTGGGATTCCATTGTGACTTGGGATCGTGGTGTGTTCTCGACTTGTGCTTGCCATCGTTGCTGCTGGCACGACCCTTATAAATGGGCACGCTGGCATCCTCTGGTATTTGGCAATAGGGGAGATGGGGGTAAGTGAAAGTGAAAGTGAAAGTGAGCTGGCAGGTGATGCTATAAAGCTGCTTACCCTTCTCCCCCTGCTGCTGGGCGGAACTCGTCTCATTTGCGTCCCCCTCGGCCGTTATCTCGAACGTGATGTCCGTGTGGATGCCCACACGTTTCTTGTGTTTACCCAAGTCCGTAATTTCGACACTCTCCTTGGACTCTGCTTTGAAGTTCGCTTTTAGTTGTATTCAGTCTCATTTGCTTTGCATTGCAGTGAGCCAAATTTAATTACCTTTCGTCTGCTGCTGCCCATCGCCCGTATCGACTGTAACACGCACTCCGTGTATCTTTGGCCGGTTGCCACTGTTGCCTCCACCAGATCCAGTTGCTCCGCCCCCACCTGCATTTGCAGCGCGTCCAGTTCCCGGATCATAGCCACCGCTACCACTACCCTGTTGCCCCTGTCCTTGTCCCTGTCCCTGCCCCTGTCCGCTTATAACTGGCACACCCGTTTGGTTGTTGTTGTTGCTCTCCATGTCATCGAAATCCAGCTTGGATGACACTTTATTTGCCTGACCTGCTTACGGTTTACGGCCCGTGTCCACGTACCAGTCATCATCAGCGTTGTTTGTTTTTCGGTTTAGCATAGAAATTAGATTTAGTGGAGAAATTTCATTTAAGTTATGCAAACACTTCGACCTCCACCCCAACCACAACCCGTCCCCAACCACAACCCAAAAGAGCATCGGATGAACTGGAGCGTGTCTCCAGCAGCATCTATAAGTGGCGCAATTAGCTCACGCTGACTTATTTATGGATACTTCTCTCGTAACCACCGCACACAGTTGACTGCCTACCGAGTGGACCTGGCGCACTTTGACCAATTTTTAATTGCACTTCAATATTAAAAGTTTGCACTGCCAACTCAAGTTGATTACAGAATGGGGTTAGACTGAACTGGTTTTGGATTCTATTTGAATTCATTGAGCACATTCAAGCACAATAATTATCTAATTAATAGTGAAAGTGAAAAGCAAACTCATGTCGAACTGTTTACAGGGCTAAACTAAAGCTCAGAATGGAATAACTTTAATCTTGAATAGTTTTTAAATAGATAAATGTCAGTAGAATTTATTACAGTAAAAAATTGCAGAATATATTATTGTTACAAATTCAAAAATTTAAACAAATTTTAAATCAATGCTCAGCTGATTATTTAATGTTTTTAATTAAAAAAGCTAATGAGCAAAGAACCTGATGGCTTATAAAAATAAATTATATAATTCATTATATATATTCAATTATATTCAATTAAAGATGCGACACTTTTTCAACTGCACAGTGAATTACAATGGGAAATTCAAATGTTGAAATCCCTGATTGCTCAGACAATAATATGTTTATTTTATACCTACATGCTTTGAGGAGCTAACAATTGGGAGAAGAAATTTAATTTCGAATTTTTTCCCAATCATTTATCATGTTGTTTACAACATTTTTGAACTAAAGTTCCTTCACCTCTTTTGTTTAATTTTGGCTAGTTTTGTAATGATTTGCGAAGCACTGGAAAAACCCACAATTGATTTGCGTGGGTGGGATTTTGAGATTGGGATCTTTTATCTTTTCATCGAAAACAATGACAGCACTTATCGCTAATTGGTAAATAAGCTATTAAGAATTAAATCTGCTGTACCACCTTGTGCGCAATGATGAGTCAACAGAAAGCAGCACAGTCCCAAATAGACTACAGATCCCAGGAACATTTCAGGAACACACACAACAAGAGGCTTCTATATTAAAAAGAAGTTTCAATTTTTTTTTTATTGACACTTGACACTGGCTTGAGTTATGGGGTTTTTTTTGGGTAAGCACTGTTGAGAACTGGTGGATTGGATTGAAGCGCGCCTGATGTGCGCACTTGAAAACTGCCGACAAACGACTAAAAAAAAATACGTAAAGCGACAGGCAACCGATTTTAAATATCTACCGAGATTCATTAAAAACTTAACTAGCCAACTGTTCAGTTGTTCAGTTGTTTTGTTCAGTTTCAGTTTCTGTTCTGATGTTTTGACGTTTGAGCTTTTGCGATAACATCTTGACTTGGGCCCCTAAGTGAGTCGCTGAGTTTGTTACCGTACCCGGATTGCAGTTGCAGCTGGAGGGAGGAGTGTGTGGCTGGTCAGCCTTAGCAGCAGCTTTAGCTTCTAAGTGTAATGCGTATAAAGGCGAACCCCTCTCTCCATGCCCCGTGCCAAATTGCCAGTAATCGGTTGGCTGGCATCTTTTGTTATTGTTTTAGTGAAGTTTCCGCTGTACATACGTACGAGTTTGTATCTTAAAGATTTCATTGTGTCTGCTTTTTTTTCTTCTTAATTTTTTTTTTGTCTAAGTATATTTTTGTTTTTGGTCTTTTTCATAATGCCTCCCATCGTTAATCATGCGCTGGCGATTCGTGTTGCTATCACAATTATATTTTGTGGCAGTTTTGACAGCACAAACGATTATCTTCATTAGAGATTGGTCGCACAACCACCAAAATGACCAAATAACGCCAAAATCACATTTCAGTTCAAGTTCAAGTTGAACTTCAAGTTTATTGCGTTGCCGATCTGATCCCTTGGCCAGTAAAACCCCAACTAAGATAAGCCGCAACGCATTAATGAACTATGCGAGTCGCAGACATTTGCCAGCCTACGCCCCCAATTTGGTCCTTTGTCTTGCGCCAAATTGCATTCGAACAATATATATATATATATATATGTATATATAGGAACACACACATGTTGGAATAATAATATGTCAAGCCGGACAAATGTATACACCATAAATTCTTTCATTTCGATGGGTCGGGCTCTTCAGTTGTGGCAATTAATTAGCAATTGCATTTGCTGCTGTCATTACGTGTGATAATTAAAAGGGCGCACGAGTCGGCCAAGTGCTCATACAAAAGAAAATTCTGGCAAATGTGTATGGCCATAAATTTGATGACCCGGCTCAGCTCGGCTCGGCTCGGCTTGGGTTGGTTTGGTTTGATTCTGTTCCTGGTCTTGCCCTCAGCTCAACTGCAAATTCACTTTAATCTCGAATTTATCAAATGTAATAGTTTGGCCAAGGGTTGGACCTCGTCTAATGGGGTTGGGATCATGGTTGCCCGTTGCCACAGCTCCAACCTTGCCGCACACTTTTGTAATCTGGCGGATTAGAAGCGCACACCCATCGCAGCACCCACAATCATGTGTGTGCTTGGGTTGGGCCTGTCTTGGCTCTTGTAGACCCATTAAACAGATGGATTTCGTTGTCGACATTATTTTCTTTTCTTTTGTTTTTTTAATATACTTTTGCTAACTAGAATCTCATCTGTCCGGCCGACTGTCCTTCTGCCGTTTGCGTCTTTTTGTTATTTGCATAAAGTTGTGCGCTGCTTGCTTGCAACAATTTAATTTTCATTGTCTCTATGCATTTATGTTGCACTTGCCCAGTGGACGGGGTGGACTCACTCGAGTGTAGCTGGTAAGTTCAAGTGCGGCACATTCCACTCAACAGTTTCTTTGTGCACTTGCATAATTCTCAGCTTCACTCAGCACCCATCGAGCTATTGAGTTCTGACACTGTTTGCATATTTTGCGGCATACTTTTAGGCATGCATAATAATGGCAGTGATTGCATATTGCCCGGACTGAAAACAAATACGGGGCAAGTGACCAATCCAGTCTTCATTTATTTCACACTTGGTTTCTTTTATTATCTTGATAAAATTCCAATAACTTTTTTAATGACATATCTCGTTATTCATCAGAATAGTCATCTTCTATAAAAAAAAAATGTGCAATTGTTTTGAAGCGAAAAAATAATTAAGTAATAGCTTGGGAGTAATAAATAAAAAAATATCAAAAAGTCCATTCAATTTATGGCACAAACTAAAAAAAAGTTGATTATTTTTTGAATACTTCAGCTGCTGGATTTTGTGCTTTATAAATGCCTTAAAAAGTTGTAACTATGAATATTTTATATAAATATACTTGCATCTTAATTGAGGATTTATCCATAAATGCCAATAAAAGCCGACTTGAATTTTGTAACAATTATTTAGTGATTTGCTTAAGCCTATAGAAAAATTATATTTGCAATAGAATACAAGGGTTTTAAGAATATTTATTTAAATTTTCATTGCTGGATTTATTGTGTTGGTATTTCCTGTATTTTCTGTGTCAATTATTGATTGCTAACAAATATATTTTCTCTCTCTGGTAATCAACTGAGTAAAAATCATATTTCTACGAATTATGGGAATAATCGGAAGCTGGAAATTTTGCTAAGGTTTAGATTGGACAAATATGAATATCTCAAGCTTTTCGGCATAAATGTTAATTACAAAAACTAAAGACAAACTACGCAAAAATTGCACAAACATTGCTGAAAGCCTGCTCAGATACAGATGCAAAGATACAACATGTTTGCCCAACAAAGACAATATAGACATAGGGACACAGGGACAGACAGGCAGACAGGCAGACAGACAGACAGATGGGCATATAGAGTGTGGCAAACAGACAAAGGAGCAAGTGGCAAAGCATGTGGCAGAGTTTACAAACAATTAAAATGGCAAAATCAAAATCGAAATACACAAATTTATGCGTCTAGCTGCCAGTGCCATTTTACAATACTTACGCAACCGAATACAATACTGAAAATAAATTGCACAATTTTCAGAAAGGGGGAGTTGGCTGCCGACGCTCAACTAATGAAATAATGGGCCAGCTGAATTAAATTATGGCCTAACAATTCCCTCGAGTGTCCCGACTCCGACTCCAGAGTCTAGACAATAACTAAATTTGCACCAAGGTAAAGGAAAACGTAAATTTTGATTGCATTGTTACCGTTTGATTTCCACCACCAACACAAATACAAACACCAACAGCAACATCAACCACCCTCGAGAGCATCCTGTCACCCACAATGATGCCAAGAAGCATCACTTGATCCGCATCCGACCTGTTTAACCCACCCACCCCACTAGACCAAAAAAAAAACACTCATTGACTATTCACACTCATGTTTTTCATATCCAACAACTATATGCGGCATTATTATAATATTTTATTTTCATGTTGTACCGCTTTGCTATATACAATTTTTATTATTTGCTCGTTTACGGCTTTAGCTGTGCAATCGTTGTTGGGTGCTCCGTTTTATCGCTTCGCCTTTCTCGTTTCTCGTTGCTTTTGTAGTGCGAAATTATCACAGAACGCATTGAATTTGCTTTTATTGTTGTCGGGTGTCGGACACCCACCCTCACAATCAGCATCATCCTCACCCTCGTTGTGGCTGCAGTGCAGCGGAAGCAATGGGATGGCTGCTGTTCCCCCTCCAACCCTGACTCTGTCCTTGCGTCTTATCGTTTTCCCGTTTTGAGTGCACAACGCAGACGCCACCGCCGCTGTCGCTGCGGTTGCCGCCTAGCGGGTGGCACAGCCAGCCACAGTGGTACACAATTTTATTTGCGAGATAAGATATTAAGCAGCTGTTGGGGTTAAAACAAAAGCCGACTATAAAACTCTGGGCTGAAGAGGAAAATATATTTCACACATAACATAAATTAAAAAAGTTAAAAAATATATATAAATTAAACTAATAATAGCTTGTTGATAATATAAAAATTTGTAAAATTAATTATTAAGAAAAATAAAGAAAGAAGAATATTACCAATAAATAAAAAAAAATATTAATTCAAAATCATTGAAACAAATTACTTATAATTTTATATGATTTAATTCTTAACTTTAGTTCTTATTTTCAATTCTTATTTTATTTTATTTATTTAATTTTCAGTTCTTAATTTATATTAAGTAAATAAATAAAAATACATAAATAAATTATATTTTCCCATTTGAAAGATGATAAACTTTGTGATTTAGAATAATGTTTTGCGATTAATGTTATATGTAAACATTAAAAAAATAAATAAATAAATATTTCGTATTTTGAGCACGTGTCTTTTTTAATTTTTATTTTGAGAGCTGGCAAAAGTTTGTTCCACAGTGCATGCAGGGTTTCTTTTTGCTACCTTACCATCCAAGAGAGCAGGTTGCGCTGAGAGCAAAAAATTTGGTTTAGGGCCCTTGAAAATGAAAATGGTTTTAGCCACTGCAGATGCTGCTGTTGCTGTTACGGCTACAGCTTGTTGTGCGTCCGAACAAACTGCCCCAACTCCAGCTAGTCATCAACTTCGCCCATTGCCCGGCACTTAGCTGACAATGAGCAGTGACAGCTTCGTGGACAATGATGGCTGGGGTGGCGCCCCTTTGGAGAGCCGCTTGTGGTTTCACCACAGACTCCGGACACGTCTGTTGCATCTGTCGCATACCGGAACTAAACAACAACAGCAGCACCCGAGAGACGAGACCCACCCCATCGAGCGGATGCGCTCGTATAGCAAACCAGGAGCCCGATCCCGATAATGATGCGTACGCGTTTGGCGATTATGATGGGTTTGATAGAGACGACAACTACTCGACTTGTCATGCATGATTTAGTGCGCTGTTACAACCTGCCCCACAAACAGCATTTGAACTCTCCACCCTTGCCATCTGCATCCCCCGTACGAATTCCACTCGACTTTCGCTTCGTTTTCCATTTCGCAAATTGCAAATAAGTCGCCGGGCAGTCGCCGTGTGCCGTGTGACATTTCTCGCAAATTATGTTTTTGGCGAGGCCAGCCAACCTAATCCGATTAATGTCTGCCTCCAGATTCAGCTCCGGCTCGAGGGCTGCACTCGCTGCAGTTTTGGATTGTATCGATGCCAACATATGGCCACCGCATGGCCAGAGGTACACCTCTGTCTGCATTTACGACCATTGTCCCTGGACCAGAATTCGGGGTAACACACACACACACACACACAGTCACACGCCCGTACGTAATTGGATTTCGATGACTGCAAATTGGTGATAATTTCGATTCGCTTCCGGGCAGCGCACGTGGTTCGACGCAGTTCGCGAAATATGAGCATCTGCGCCGAGCTCGGATCCGCACTCCTTGCGCCAGTTCGTGACTGGATAAACATGGCTCCGACTATTGGCAAAGCCGGAGCTACAAAATATGCCAGCTTGTCAGCACTGTGACACATTCGTATTGGCTACGCAATTACTTATCAGCTCAGCTTAAAGCATAAATGTTCAACAATTGACATACACGTATCTTCAGAATATATCTGAAGAGCTTAATATTGCATTAAGTTCGTGTTGGTCGTTGGTTTCCTGAGTATTACAACAAACAAGATCCCACATTAAATACACATCACATTGTTAAATGGTTGAACGCTTAATTGATTGAACTTAACATCAAATGCCTGATCAGATAGCTAAATTATATACTGGGAGTACTGAGAGAATTTGACATTTATTTATTTAAATATGTTGACTATAATACAGTTATATACAAAATAATATTTCAATTAATAATAATAATAATAGTAAGAGCACTAATGACTGGACCTTCAGCTCGAAGAGAGTCGAATTCATATACAAAGATCATCACTTCATCACTCTATGTTCTGGATTGACTTACATCTTTAGAGCCATCCTGAATACATTTACTTATGCACACTAAGCCTTTGCATTAAGAGTTATTAAAAAATATGCATTCCCATTTTAAAATAGCATTTTACAACGAGTTTTTGTTTCACAGCAAGGGAGACTAAAAGATACCTTCTCACAAGATTTTGATCCTATCATGAGTCGAATTAAAAAATTGCTTTACTAACTATAAAGTAAGCTTTGAAATTAGAATTAGAAAATAAAATGCAATGTTAGTACAATTATTTACATAACGTATTTTATTTATTTATTTAATGTCAGTATTTTATAAAAATTATGTATATTAATATTGTAATATTACCCAATCATCTATAATGAGGTGTCAGATTTCCCAAAAATGTAATCAACCAGGAACAACTGAAGCAAGACGAACTAACCCATTTGTGAGGGATAAATTCGTATCAATGGCAAGAAGCATGTTTACCTCATCCAAATTGGGATTGAAAACTTAGTCTTAAAGCACTTGTGGAAACAGGATCAGATCTTTGCTTGATGCGTAGAAATGTTTTCTTTAAATTTGATGGCAGTAGATTGACAGGTCTCGCAAAATGCTTGACTGGAATTGGAGAGAGTCAGATTATGACATTTGACAGTTTCATAATCTCTGTCTACATTGATGGCTTTGGTAAGTATTTGAGGCGATTTGGGGTAGCACAATTCTAGAGAATTTTCACATGAAAGTATCCAAGAATCGAACAAAGTTTGCTCGAAAAGTTATTCTTATTCTGAGCTACTGAATGAGTGTATAGATTTGTGTATGTTTACTTCAGATCAGAGTGAAGTCATTCAAGCAATGCACACTTAACTTAAATCACACAACCAACTCATAAAAGTTGTCAGGTCAGATAATCTATAGCGAAATATATGTTTTATTATTTGAGAAACCCGATAATAATAATAATTAAACAATTTTAATAATTGCTGGATCATTATTTACAATTAAGAGCCACATTTAAATATTCCCATCGCTTTTAAAATTCCGGATATTTTTTAATCGCACTTCGCAAATGGTATTTTTAATATTTACTTCCGATAGAAATGGAAGAAGAAAATAAATAGAACGATGTCCGAATGTGTGCAACACTTTCGATTTTGCTCAGCCACATTAATGTCTGAGTCTCATTAGATTGGATTGTGCCCACGGGGCATTTTGTGTCAATTTATGCAACTCTCCTGCAATTTCCGGTATATTAAAGCAATTTCCAGCCCAACGGTTCCGGACATGGTCATGACTTAATGCATATGAATATGTACTCGCTTCTCGAGTGGTGCGAGTGCGAGTGGGTGCGAGTGGGTGTGTGTGTTTGTGTGTGTTTGTGTGTGTTTGTGTGTGTTTGTGTGTGTGTTTGTGTATGACGGAAATGCTCTCCTGGGCATTGGAGTAACCAAGTTGGGGATGCTCTGGCCAACAGCAGCGTACAGATTGAATTCGAAGTGCTCGAAGTCTAGGCCAGGCGGATAGTTGTAGTAGTCTTTTCCACCTAAATCAGAGTTAAGCGCACCCCCGCGGCGAACCCTTTGCCCTCGTGCCCTGCCCTGGAAGACACAGCCAGCGATGAGACGCAATAAAAATTGCTCAAAAAGTGTGTAAAAATGTCAAAACGTTTTCGACATCATTGGAAGTAGCAGCTTCAGCAGCAGCAGCAGCCTCAGCAGCAGCTTAAGCACAATAAAAATGAAAATGAAAATTCGCAAGCAGCCAAATGCAATTTATCTGGCGGGTGAGTCGTCAAGTGCCGCTGCACCCAGGGGGACTGCTTGATTTACCGTCAACAGGAGATTAAAAAAAAAAAAAAACACGCACACACAAAATTCGACGTTATACCCAAAAAGTGAATTAAGAACTTGTGTTGTGGAACGAAGCTACCAATCGGAGGGTGGTTCACCAAAATAACAAAAAAAATACAAATAAAAACAGTATTGGGGGCAAATTGAGTTGCAACACTTGGCAGGTTTTTATCTACGCACCACAATCAACCAGCCAGCCTGCCAGCCAGCCAGCCAACCAGCCGGGTGGTTTCAAACAGTCAGCAGTCCACACAGTCCGCAGCTTGAAGTTTGGAGTTCACAGGTCGCAATACAAACCAACAACAAGGACTGACCAACCAGGACAGCAACTGTTTTGTGTTGGCTCGCGCTGATAACAAGATTTGTTTTTCAAAATTATGGAGGGTGTGTACTTAATTACGTTGAAAAGCGCAACAGAACCACACAGAAACCAGAGAAACCGCATCCCATATACCCAAACCACCAAACTCAGAACCCCATCCCAGTCGCACAGTCGCATTGCCCCCCTTAAGGCGGCAATTTAACTAAATTAATTTTAGAGCGTGCTCGTTCTTCGATTTGTGAAAAGTGCCGGCAGCAGTCAAAAGTTAAGAGTGTGGCCCAATGCTTGATTTTGGCCAGATACGGGAATGGCAGACAGGCAGTCAGACAGATAGAGACAGATAGAGTCAGACATTCAGGCAGGGAGATCGCATAAGCGCACAGTAGGGAGGAAGGGACACACCCTCTCTCTGGGCCATTGCACACACGCATCCTTAGACAAATGCGCTTCGGTCGGTTGGCTGGCTTTGCTGGCTGACTTTGGCTGGCAGGCAGGCTGGCAGGCAGGCAGGCAGACAAGCAGACAGAAAGTGAACACTCAACATGGATATTCCATTAAAGCAGCAGGCGAATTGAACAATTTTCACTTTATGATTTATTGTAATGAGCTTTTTATTTACGGCTGCTCGTTTCGTTTGTTGAAAAGTGTCTGCACGGCAGAAGCTTGTTTTGAAAATTAAAAATTAATTAGGCATTTATCATTGGCTCCCCTTGGTGTGGTTGTTGAAATCGAGAATCGCTAACAGATGGCTTGACATTTTCGGGAGAACTGCCTACTGCCAGAGAGCTACGACAATTGGTGTGGAATGTTGAACAATGTTCATTTTTTTTTATAATCTTACAAGGCAATACTGAAGTAGACAATTGTGTTATTTCACAACATATGTATATATTTAAATAAATAAATATATATAAATATATATACTTTTACTTCCTCAAGAAAAGTAAAACATAATGATTAAAATTAAGGGACAATATTCATTAAATAATTTCCAAATTTATCTAAGAATTCATAGTTTCGTAGTTTTATAACTAAAATATGATTTTCCTTATAAAAGTTGTACTTTTAATGTTCTTAAATCTTTTGTGCCTAAAATGGCTTAGAGCTTGATAAACTTAATATTTATTCTTATTATGGTTTTTGGTTACAACTATTATTTTTAAACAATTATCAAAAACTATTTATATTTTGTAACAAATAAAATGAAGAATTACTTTATATATGTATATTTAATGGAGAATCGGACTTTTGACCTGAAGTGAGAGGTGATTGGGGACCGGAAGTGGGAATAATTATTAATTGATGCTTTGATACTAAGAATATTGACTTGTTTATATGCTGATCGGCCACAAAAGCAATACAGCGGAAGTAAAGTTTATATGTTGCAGTTAAGATCCTACGGGGGCCACTTTATATTTGAATTCAGGAAGTTCTTCAGGGATCATAGATCGTGCTGATTTCATTTATTGCATAGAATTTCGAACCAAACTGATGATAATTTGTTTTCAATTAGCGAACTCAGAAACCGAACCAAACAAATTTGGGAACTGGAATGCTTATCACGAAATGGACCCCGCATCTTGCCCAGTGGTAACCTGGCAGCGAGGAAAGACGCTGCTCTCATAGGTCGGCACCATGTACTTAATATTAATGAAGGCATTGGGTCCACCACAGAACTCGAGTAGCTTCAGAGTGTCCTCAATGACATCGCCAATGCGCTTACTGCGATCTGGATCGACGCCCTCGCCGAGATTGACGTTCACATTCTTGTACAGATTGCATACAGCCAGCAGTTGGCGATAGAAGGGCACCAGGGCTTGTCCCACGCAGGGGCCTACATGGAACCACATATGTCAGATCAGTATTAAATTGCTATGGATACAAAAAAAGAAACTAACCCAATCGCACCATCAGTTGCAACACCTGGAGGGCAGAGATAATGATGCGCTTGTCTCGTGTCTGAAAGGCGCGCTTGAGCGGAAGTATGAGCTTGGGCAGCACGGGGAGCACCTTGTGGGGCTGCCTCATGATCAGATCGACGGCTGCATTCACAGCCAGCATACGTGTGTCGCTATCAATGTCGGCCAAGCCATCTAGGAAGATGGGCAGATAGTAGCAGTAGTCGAGAGTCTCGGGCTTGCAGTGCCAGCGCAACGGACGATCCTTGATGGGATCCTGCTTGTTGCTGCGACCGGAGAGAGCCACAGGAATATCGCCACGCATAAAGTAGATCTTGAAGACGGTCTCCTTAACCGGTTGACGTTTAAATATGTCGATTCTGCAAACGTTGATCTTTTATTATACAAAACTACAAAGTGATTAAGCCACTTACTTTTTGGGTGGCTTTACAAAGGTGCCCCTCTGCAATGCCTGATAGGTAAACGCGGGCACCTCTCGCTTGACCTTGGAAAGTCCGGATTAGTGCAACTACTTGCAGCCTAATCCTGGGCTACTTACCCGCTTGGCGCGCAAATAGAGCTGCTCGCGACAGACTCGACCCGGTTCGTGAATACGTGTGGCGCGCTCATGAAGATCGGGACACTTATTAGCGCTCATTGTTTGTGAATGAGAATGAAGAATGAGTTTGAAATAGAAAATATATATATATATATATTAAGACTTTATGTGACTGTGACCGAAATGTTGTTAGTTGAACAGGCTACTCTGAGCAAATGCCAGTTAAATATGTACTGAATACTCTTTCCTTAAGGCCAACTTGGATAGCAACTGCCTGTCACCCCAAGAGGCATGGGGAGGGGCTGGGTCTCCCTTAGCCCTGTCTATCCTTAAACCCAACCGAAATGTATGTAAATAAATTACTCGTATAAATATAGAAATATTCACATTTATATTTATTTTAACATTTTGCTTATCAAGACGTCGACACGCCAGAAACAGAAACAGCAACAGCAACAACCGCCCCAAAAAAAAAATTTGCCTGCTCCATCGACAGGATATAACGAAGTGTATGTAAGGGGCAGGGGGCGGGGGAAGTGGTGTGGTGTGGTGGGCAACTCAACACCTAAATGTCTCTAAAGAGTCGTAAAGGGAAAGTGCAAACATTTGCGCACTTTATCATCTTTTTCCATTTCCATGTAACGGTTACTGTAAATATTTTGTAACGCCACCAATTACGGTGTCTGTCAGATCCAACACCCCCCTGCACACACCCCATACCCCTCTCCAGACCACCCTCGCACAATTTAGCACTCGTATCTCTAAGCGCATTAACCTACTTTAGTCTCTGGGTGCGAACGAGACACGTGACTTGCCTATCTATCTTGCCATCTAACTCACCAACCTCTCTCTCCTGTCTCTCTCTCTCTGTCTCAGCCTCTGCCTGTGCCTTCGACTGCGCTCTTAATTAATTAAAATTCAGCATGCGAATTAGGTTTCATCTGCCTCCTCGACTCGTTGACTTTTTAATTACCCACGCACAGGTTTTCACTTTTATTCAGAGCCGTTGCACGTCGCGATTTATCCGTTTTAATAATGCGGCGGAGGCAATTCGTATGCCTGACGCCCCATTTCGACCACGCCCCCGGCAAGTAAATTGAGTTAAAAGCGTTTAGGATAATGCCACAAAAAGCCGCTGGCATTCGAGATGCCAACTTAATTGTTTAAATTGGCGCGAGAATATGACATAAAAATATTACGTGAGATAAGTTTTTATTTGACTAATCGTGATCTTGTCACTTAAGCAACATACGATTTAGGACATGAAATATATAATACATATGCTAAACGGAAAACCTAAGAAAACAGATTGCTTAACAGTTAAAGTAATATTTTGCATTTGTTTTAAATTAATTATGTTAACTTATAAAGCTGAGAACTGAGAACTAAAAAGTTATTATTTTTACAAAAAAAAAAGTAGCAGCAATGATTAGACTATAGTTAAGCCTTCTATTATACGTAAGATAGCTTGATTAATACAGATAATGATAATACTGATTTTTGTTAAAATCGAAATAGATTTGTGTAAATTACAGCACGCCTCAATATTACTCAATGTGCTTTTTAGTAACTGGCTGGTTTTGCTGGCACTTTACTTAGACATATATGTGGATTGCCAAATAAAGATCTCAACATTTTCCCCAAATTCGATTAACAAGTTTCGTCATTGGTGACAGCGTTAAACAAAAATAACGGTCACAATCCTGTGCAGGACATTTTAATGACACGGAATGCCACACGCTGTTAAGGGCCGATGCATACAAAAGGTCCTCTAAAAATCGGCCTGATCATAATTTATTGGCCAAAATGGAAATCATTTCAAACAAAGCGCATGACTAGGCGGATGGAGTTGGGGTGTGGTTGGGGCTGGGGTTGGGATTGGGTAGAACGAATGACTGTTCGATGATGTCCTTTGGGTTTGGGTGCGTTTGTCTAGCTGACACTTTCATTAACAAAAAGTCAGAGCGATGACAATCAACCCACTGCCGGTCTGTGTGTGGTGTCTGTGTGTGTGCTGTTGTTGTTTTTTGCATTGTTACAAAGTGCATTGGGTAGGGAAGAGCTGGCTAAGTTGGGGGTGTTTTTGTTTTTGTTTTGGGGTCTGGGGATGCTGGGCCTGTCACACCTCTTGATGGCCATATGTCCGTCTACGTTTGCCATCTAATACTGCTGCACTGCGGCACGTAAATCTAAACAGCCACTGACAGCTTTCAACTTGCCACCGTCGACTCTTGAAACTCTACCCTCCCATCTCCCTCCCTTTGTACCGCATGCCCCTTTCCCCATACCGACCGCATCGTAAGCGCCTTTTTATGTAGCTCGAAATGTGCAATCTGTGGACAGAGTGAAAATCGGTGGGCGGCTGTCACATCTTGAGCGTCACACAAGCCAAACATATATCTATATCTATATGTATATGTATCAATGTGTGTACATAGAGAGAAACAATATATAGTATATTAAACTCACTTGCTTGAGTCAAGTATTTTCAGCTCAAGTATCTTTCGTTGGAAAATTCCAAGTATTTAGTGATGAAGTAATTGCCAATAAAAGAAATTAAATGAAAATTATATGCTTTCTGTTTCCTTAAAAAATATATATTGTAAATATTAAAAATGATTTAAGCAATCTAAACTAAATTTCGAACTTGAGCTTGGAATGTATGCCTCATTTTTTTCTCTGTATGGCAACGAGTTTGCATATAACCGGATTGTTTGTCTGAAATTGACATCGCTTGTTGCTGGTCCTGGGCCGGACCGAACATTGCCATCAGTTGCTTTTGTTTTGTCACCATCCTCGTTGTCTGGCCAGAGATTTTATGTATGTTCGCATAGACTTTCAGCGCTTTATTGTTTGCTAAAATTCAGGCAGCGAGTAATCGAGTATCTGCCTATTCGAGTATCGAGCAGGATCCGAGTATTCCCGAGTATTCAACTTAGTATGTGTAGGTGTTAATCTAATAACTGTCAGATGCAGCATGTTGATACTTCAATCGAAGCCAGGCGATGGATACTTGTTGGTCAAATGGGTTTTGTATTACAACTAAATTGCTCGGCAAATTGATGTGTGAGCCCAACAGCCAAAGGATTGACCAGGGACACACAAAATGGGTTATTACTGTGCAAGGGTAACACAATGTTCGCAATGCCCATAAAAGACAACATTTTTGAAAAAAGCTTATTAAATTGTCAAACCTGGGATGCTGCCAGTTGTAAAATGTTTTTTTGTTTATGCATTCATTAAATTTTATATTGAATAGATTTATATTTATCATTTCAATTGATTCGATGTATAACATAATAATGATAAATTTGCGCAGTCGAATTTGGGTACAATCTGTCATAAATCAGAGTTCAGCTCTGCCTCATTTCTAGCATAACCTTCTAATAGTCTTACAATGCTCGCAGCTTATTTATTTGGTTCGATTGCTGTTGCTAAATAGAGAGCAACATTTCCAAATATTTTCTGCATCACTAAATGGCCATAAAAATCAACGTAGTACATATAGATATATGGTAGAAAAAAAATGTATATAGAGACATTCATGCAACAAACTGTCCTGCAGACAGCAGGAGTGGAGATGGGGCAGGATCAGACCAAGTCAAGCATAAAATCGGAAAAAACAGCACTGACCATTTGAAAGGGGAGGGGCTTAGAGAAACAGTAACGATGCTGGCGCATATAAAGTTGCTAGCATTTTTATGAGTCGTAAATCGAAGCGATAAAATCACACGACCAAAACAGAGGCCAGCAGCCATCATGGTCGCCACACTCTTGGCCTGGTCTGGTTTTGTCTGGTCTGTCCTGGTCAGCTCAGCCCCAGCTCAGCTGTGGTATGTGCAGCTGTTTTCTGCTTCTGGTGTTCTTGTTGCTGCTGCTGCTGTTGTTCGTCTCATAAGTCACACGATAAATTTTGCAACATTGCGCTAATGACAACAAGCCCAAGATGGGGCAGGAGCAGCAGCAGCAGCAGCAGTTGCAATCTGTGAGCATTCGAATCCAAAAGTCGGCGCCATTTTGCGACTACAAACGACGGAAGTTCATTATTGTCAGTGATTAATGACATCATAGACGAGTGAAGTGGGAATCGGGTGGCATGCCTCTGCGGATGCCACATAAGTTAGCCAACCAAATGCGCTGACAACAAGCAACGTTTTCCCGTTCGTTGCTGCTCTTGGCAGTCTCTCCCTCTATGACATTTATGGGTTTACTACTTCCGGCAGAGGAACCAAGAAAAAAAGAAGATAAGAACCAAACGGGGAATGCGACTGCTTTCGATTGCCTACACTCACAAAAACAAATCGCACTAAAACTTCGAAAATCGCCATACTTTTGTCGACAGAAAAACTAACTCATCTTAATTCTTGTGAGATTAGTTTTTAAAAGTGGTATTTTTTTTTAGAAAAGCGCTTACATTTCTGCCTACGTTGAAAGTCAAATGTTTTAATTAAACAATAATAAATTTTACATACTGCTTGCATTAGGCAGATAGTATATAAAACCAGGAAAAACTGAAGAATTTAAAGAGATTTTCGAAACTATTTCTAGAAAAAAGAAAAACTTTTTGTTTATATTCATAGAACTATTTTAGCGTGAAAATTGTTCCGCATGTAGTTTAGGCTCTGTTGGAAGGCCGACAAGCTGTTGACAGTGCTTGATATGTGATTGAGTCAGTGCGAGTCAGTCTGTTGGCGAGCTTGAATGCATTGCACCCGTATACGATTTGAATGATTAGCGAACCGATTTGGCAAGCGATTGAGTGCAAATTGACACGAGAAGCTCAAGGAGGCGACATCACTCAACTGTAGTCGACTTGTAGTCCTCGGCTCTGGCGTTTCAACTATGCAACGTTGGGCGCCATTGACAGCAACACGCTGCTCACGACACGCACACCGGGCCCGGCCTCCCAATGATGATGATGATGATGAGGAGGAGCAGCAGCAGCAGCAGCAGCTAGCAACGACAAGTGAAATTAATTTCAAACAATGCAGCAAACAGAAGACAAACAGGCAACGAAGACAAGCCAAGCCAGGCCAGCAGCAAACATACGACGACAGTCAAGCAAATTAAATAAAAATTCCAACACGAACTCAACACAACAGACATTGAGCAGGAGCTGGCAGTAGCAACCAAAGGGAGTAGGACCTGGAGCCGGAATAGGAGCCGGAGCCGGAGCCGAAGCCGGAGCAGGAGGTGCCAAAGTGCTGCGAAGTTTTCATCATATGGCAGACCGTCTAACTGCCGCTACGTGCCAATGTTGTGCCGTCGATGCAAAAGCTGTTAAGAGCCAAAAACACAACAACAACAACAAACAGCCAACTTGTCGAAAATTATTTCATTTTAATTATGCCAAGGGGCAAACGAAGCCCAAACCCAAATGAAAACTGAACTCAATTCAACTGAACACAGAACCGAACCGAATAATGCTCCGGTACGTGTCGCAATGTGTCGCCATTTGTATGCAGAAACGAAATCACATCACGGCCAGAAGGCAGCCATATTTACACATTAACTCCCCGCCCCTCCTTCAACAACCCTTACTTGTCAATTTTCAGACGCCTACAACTTTAGTCGTCGTTATCAATTTGCCTTAATTGACGCGTCGCGACACTTTCCCTCGCCTTGCCCCAACTTGTGGCATACAAGTTGCTGTTGCTGTTGCTTTTGCGTTGCCTGCTTTGCAGCGCCTGCCTTGTCGTGAGTCAGCGTGACTCGTCGTGAGTCTTGTGCCATGTGCTTGCGACTGCTTAAAAGCGTTTAGTCGAAATTTATTTGTTTTACACAACGAAAGCCAAATTTAAATTAAGTAAGAAAAGCTGAATAATTAAATTAGACACTTGACAGATTATGACTTGAATTTACAACAGCTTCCGGCAAAAGATGCAAAGTGCTTGAGTAACACTCGGAGTCGCTGAGCGTGCCAATAAAAACTAAACACTTGGTGTGCTAATGTATTTTATGATCTATAATTATGTATGCACATACATATTTTCATTTTTTAATTGCCGTTTTCAGTTGTTATTGCTTATTTATTTTTCGAAATTCTTTAATTGATGAAGCTTTGACAATCATGTCAACTATCTAATTTATTGACTATCGAAATATTATATTTTACATATTTTGTCAAATTTAAACAAGGTTTTCCTCTTTTTTGTGATCTCCGTAATGAGTTATTGAATAATTGTGGCAATCTCCGATATCTGTTTTGTAGAGTAGAAATGCACAAGTATTTATTTTACACAATTATTTAACAAGACTTTTCTAACGGCACACGACAATAAGCGTGGATGAAGAAGAGTAAAGAAGATCGATCGCAGTATCGATATATGATATTGCGATATGTATCGTTAAACTGGTGTGCTGCCAGACCGGTGCTGGGACAAGGTTGCCAGAAAGGCTAAGCACGGTTGACACGGATTTATTGTTTAAAAGTATTGTCCGTTGAGTGATTAATATATTATAATATATTTTAATATAATATTATAATATATTTTAATATATTATAATATATGTTTTCAGTTGCCATTGTTTATTTATTTCTATTTCTTCAATTTTAAAACTTTATCAATCATACCAGCTGTATAACTATTCAAATAAATGCATATTGCAGATAAAATATTCGATATGTGTACATATATATAAGATTAACAGAAGCTTTACTTACTTTCCAGAGCTGCTTTAATTCTCTGGAAAAAAAGCTGACTGACATCACAGCTGTTTCAATTGATTGTGAATAACAAAGGAAATTACCCGACCTTATCATAAAAAAGTACAAAGTTTCATGCACTTGTTAGTTCTATTTCATAGTCTTTCTTATATGTTATATATACAGAACAATTGCAAATGAGTCGCATTGAAATCTCAAGATGATGCGCACAATTATATCATCTTACTGAGGTCACCATGGTGCGGGTAATTACAAGCTGGGGCTAGGTTAAAGGGCGTGTCAAAGGAATCGTCACAGATGCATGACTAAAGCACAAATTCCCTTTCTTTTTTTTGGGGAGTTACATAGATGTTCATCAATATGCAAGGAGAGGAGGCGAAGGCGAATAATGCTTATTCGTAGTGGGTTTAAGGGTAATAGCCTGCGGTTATTCCCTTCCACATTAAATATTGTATTACATACGAATAATCTTCTTTACTCATCTCAAGGCAGATTCTGATTTATCGACCGTTATCATTTCTTATCTATCACGATTTCGTTTTGAATATTTTGTTGTGCAAGACTTTGCTCTATTGAGATACAATGTGAATGGTACTCAGAAAAACAATCGCTCTGAAAACTATAAAGTTTTTTATGCTTCAGAAATATAAGAATATATATTTCTCAATAATATAAAATATTTTTAAAACTTAGAAATTCGAATTCTATTTTTTTTAAAAAATTAGTTCTAATATTGAGAAACCTATAATCGCAATACGCTGATATAACAACAATCCAACATAATTCCTTATGAGGTTTAGATTGGTTAACCATGAAAACCAACGACCGATTTTGATAATACATTCTGAAATGAATGGAATTTAGTTTAACTTAGTAGCTGCTGTAGTTTTTATATTTTCTTCGTTCTTCTTTGTTTTTTTACTTTTCTTATTTATTTCCCAAGTTATTTCAAAATTTAATGATGAATGCGAGAAGCACTGGACATTAATGTAAAGGCTGAAGTTGGCAAGCGAATGGCATTTTTTGATTACAACTGGCTGTGGCCATAAGCAGCTCTCCACCGATATACTCCAAATAAACGCAGAAACCGGACGCAAAGCGTAAATTATTTGATTTGAAGAAATTGGAGTAGTTCATGGGATACGGCTCGAAGTGCCAGTAATAATTGTCCAGGGTGCTAAGATCGGTCTCACTGTGGGACAGACTGCCGCGATGTCCGCCGCTCCAGAAGAATGGTTGGGTGCCCGAGTGGGCATAACGGCGCATATAATTGGCCAGATAGCTCATCTCCTCAACGGACTTCATGGTCAACAGTTGCGCATTGGCGTCGAGTGTCTCGCAGGCAAATCTGGCTTGCAGCCAATCAAGCTACGTTGGAAGGAGGAACTGTAAAATGAAGATTCACGGATGGATAGAGGGATCGACTCACTTCAGCGGGCACACTGAATATGTGACCCTTGTAGGACACCTTATAGTAATCATAGGTGGGCTGTAATATATTTATATAAGTTGCGTATATAGGCGAAGTTAATATTTGTACTTACTGCTTTGTTGGTGGAGAGAAAGTAACAATTGTCGCCAATCTCCACAAAAGGTTGCGTGCAACGCGCTATGAATGAGCCCCAAAAGCGTTAAATACAAATAATTATTGTATATTTAAGCTTACTTACATTTCCAGAACTCTAAATATATGCATACATAACTAGTTAACATAAGGAGTACGAGTAAAAATAGATTCCAGGCTATTCCAATTGGCATTGCCATCTTCCATAGAATAAACGAAAACTGTAAACTAAATCGAAGCTTACATCAGCTTTTATATAACTCCAAGTGGAAAGCAACAAATTGCAAAGATCTCAACAAAAGTTTCTTGGTATCGGATATCCAGGTGTTCAGTTGGCCAAGTGTTTAGGGTACGTTATATACAGTGTCTACCAGCTTATTTAGACCAGTGTCTAGCAATACAATTAAAGTGCAATAAGTTTTAAATTAAGAAACAAACCCAAAATGTTTAAATGTTAATTCATTACATGATATATCACGTTTGAAAAAGAAACTTTCGTTTGTCTTAAAATATTAATTAATTAAAAGATGTTAAAAACTAAAAATATATTCAAGCCTTTATAACTCTTTGTGATATATTATTTTCTAACATTTCGTGGTTTGACGTAACAATGTGGTGACCGTGTTTCTCGTCGTATTTTATAACAAATTAATAGAACTAAAACAAATGTAATGAATATAAGAGTATAAACACTATCTAGGAGTAACCAAAGCTTTTGCAATATCGAGTTTTCTTCACATATATAAAACTGATCATAACCCCACGATCTGAACATGAACAGCTCCTTGCCGATCAGTTGCAGACCCACAAAACCCTTTAAGCGCGGTTCCTCATTGGGCAGCCATTTGGAGTAGTTAAACCGCTGTTTCAGTGCATCCCAACTGAATGGATTTTCCTGATTAAAATTATGCCCGGATGTGGAAAATGTGCTTCCATTCGCATATCCCTTGGCCACAAGATAGTCCTGCAGTTCAATCATCTTCGCTTCCGTCTGCACCGACACCAGCTGGCCATTATGATCCAAACAGCTCTGACGGGCATCGAACCAATCGAAAAATTCCTGATCCTAAAGCAATTAAAATTAGTCATTGATTTGGGAAATTAAACACAAGACTCTACAATAAGACCGTTGAACATCTTCGCTGTTTTGGACTTACCCCAAGTTTTATATTGATTATAATATGATTGACTTAAATTTTGAAAACTGAAAACGCTTTATGTCTTGGTCATACCTCAAAGGGAATGGTGAGTCCGAAATGCATTTGAATTGTCTGCGTTTCTTCACGCTCTTAGTTTCTCACCGTGTGTTCCAAGCCCACAAAGTAATTGCCATCGCCAATCCTGTTATAGGTGTAATTGTATTCGCGGGAAATGGCTGTATTAACAAGCCATTGCAATATGCATACTAATAATATTGCAGAAATACTCATTTTTATACGTCGTTTTCGCGCCAGATCCGAAACAAGACTGAAATGTTTTAAAAGCTGATATCAATTATTTATTCTGACTCGTTGATTTCCGTTCTGTGTGATTAAACATTGAAACGAATGCAGTCGGCTCAGAAAAATATAAACAGTAGAAAATATATTAATAATAATTACAAATAAATTTGAATAATAAAGTACATTTTTAAAAATATATATATAAGAATAACTAATCTTCATTTTCGGAAAAATGCATATGCAAAACGAATTAGAATACTGTGACGGTGATATATCCTGAACCTAGATGAAATGATTTATCAATACTATGTCTATGTTTTTTCAATATCAATATCAATAAGAAGTTTTTTCCCTTAAACTTTATTTATAATTTATAAGTATACGAGAACTTATACTCCAATTTGAAAGTCTCTTAATTTCAGATCCGCATGTTCATACGGACATGCATTTATCTGTTGCTCGTAATCAAGAATATATATACTTTGATTCCTTTGAACTTTTCAACCCATTTATTATTTCCCATGTAGTAATTATCAGCAGACTTGCTATATACTCAATATATTATATTCTATATTTATGTTTGTAAATACAAACTATTTGAGATAAGGCCCTATCAAGTAGTTTGTATTTATACGATTACTTACCAAAAATATATAAATTTAATGTTACTATTGGCAGCAGCAACAAAAACATTTAATTGATTATGAGTTGTTGATGCTTGAAGTTGGAGCCCCACGTGGCTAAATACAAATAGCTTTTTATTAGTCTTAGCAGTTAAGTGCAGAGCAGCCTACGCATTTGACTTCCAATCTAAATTAATTCAATAAAGTTGATAACGTGGAAATATTTTAGTGTTGTTAAATGGAAAATAAAGCTAACAAAAAGCTGATAGCGCAAGCAGTTACTCACTTAGTATAATTCGAAGATATAGTTGTAGTAATTATATACAGTCAAAAATTGCTAATGCGAACTAACCAAAATATTAACTTAAAAAAAAACAAGTAAAAAAAATCTTTAATCTACGAGGTGTGTTCAAAAAGTATCGCGAATTTTGTGTTTTTTCAGATATTATTTATTTATTCATGAATATCTATTTTGTCCCCTTCAAAGTAATCCCCATGAGATATTATACACTTGTGCCAACGGTTTTTCCAATCTTCGAAGCACCTGCAATCGAAGAAAACTGTCAGCAAAACTTTCACATTCGACCGAACTTGGCGCGCTTTTTTCGGTCTTGGTTCGTGCGGCAGCTTCCATTGAGATGATTGAGCTTTGGTTTCCACGTCGTAACCATAAACTCACGATTCGTCACCAGTTATGACCCTCTGGAGCAAATTTGGGTCGTCGCGGACAGAGTCCAACATCTCATTAGCAATGTTCATGCGATGCTGTTTTTGGTCGCAATTGAGCAATTTTGGTACGAATTTCGCGGCGACCCGTCTCATGCCCAAATCATTGATAAAAATCGAATGGCATGAGCCAATCGATATGTCTAGCTCCTCAGCAACTTCTCTAACGGTGATTCGACGATTGGCCAATACCATTTTCTCCACTCCATTAATTTTTTCGTCTGTTGTTGAAGTGCTCGGGCGTCCGGCACGCTCTTCGTCGTTCACATCTTCTCGGACTTCTGAGAACATTTTGTACCATCGATAAACGTTGCTTCGGTCCAAGGTAGCTTCTCCGTATGCCACAATCAACATTCGGAATGCATCCGCGCACTTAATTTCGTTTTTCACACAAAATTTGATACAGGTTCTTTGATCCATTTTTTTGAATAGGTAAAAATCGAAGACGATCCAAAACACGTGCAAGCAAAGCAGCTGTCAACAATTAAGTGAACATTCAAAATGGCCGAGCTTGTCGGCATAAGTGAGAGACATGAGTACCAACATAACGCTACAAAAAAATCGAAATTCGAATATACGTAACCCGCGAAAATTCAAAATTCGCGATACTTTTTGAACACACCTCATATAATTGCCAATTTGACTTGTTTCGACACGAATTACGCAATAAAAGTGCCTAGTTTTGTTTCGAGTTAAAGGAAATTCTGAAAGAATTTTCAATTAGATTTGAATTAGGTATTCGATTCGATTGGAAAGTGTGCGCTTTAGTGAAGCCGGACAGTAGTATACTGGAACCGAGAATGCCCAAGTTTATTGAAACCATTTTTCTGGGTAACCATTTCGAATGGATTGCGAGGCATTTAGCGTTGAATGTTTGTACAACTGCAGAATCTGAAGTCAGTGCATTATGGTTGGCTCATTGGTGAGCAGCTGTTCGCAGATGTCGACGGCCCGCGTGTGGCATGATTCGGTGGTCATAAAGAGTTCGCCGGCTCGCAGCGTGAGCAGCATACAATTGCGACCCATTTGCGGAGTCGGCTCCCCCTCCAACCAGTTGGTGTAGTTGAGGGCGCGAGCACGTCCAAAGTAATTCCAATAGAAACGCATATCGCCCGGCCAGCGATGGCCAGCGCTCCAGAATTGTGTGCCATCCTGATAGCCATTCGCATACAGATAATTGGCCAGGACGTGCATCTCCGCCTCGCTGTCCAGGCAGACCCGCGAAGTGCGCTTCTCCCGATAGCAAAAGTTGCTAAAAGAGCTCATCTATATATATATATATATATATATATATTTATTGATTAGAGTCTGCTGCAATTCGGATAAAGTCACTCACCAGTGGCTCCCCGTCAGCTATAAAGTAGCAGTAATGTTCCTGCACCTTCTCGTATGGCACCTTGCAACGCATGGCAGCAGCTGTGGGAATCAGCGCAGCAAGTCCAAGGCAGAGGAGCAGCGTCCAGCGACGCTCAGATTGACAGCTGTTTGGCATCGCGACGAATAGGGAACTGCACCTGAAATATACATTTCCACACTGGCCTCATGTTGCCAATGAGGAAACGCCTAATCATTAATTGCTCTAATCAGTTATAAGCTTCAGTTCAGTTTTCAGTTTCTCCTGTTTAGCTTGGAATAAAACGCTTTTGTTACATTGTGCTCAAATTCCGTTAAGAGATACTCTCTCTCTCTCTGTCTCTCTCGCTCTGCATTTGTCTATCTTTGCGTCTCTCTCACTCTGATGTGGTATTTTCTATAGCCGCAACTGATAAGCAGCAGCAAGTTCTGACTACATGTTTATCTGTATATAAGTTTATATTATACATTCTTTATATACATATATAATCAATTTTTGATTGTATATATATATATATATATGTATTTCCGTCCTTGGTTTTTATGCACTGTAGTCAATTTAGAAGAGCATATTAAATACAATATTGTTATTACTATTAATAAATAAATAAATAGTGACTGAAAAAATTAAGATACCTTTTATGGAACATTTTTATAACAATGAAAGAATAATATAGTTTTCAAGCTAAGTAAAATTTAATTTAAAATTAAGCAACTTAAAACATTCTTAACATTGATCCTGCTAATCCAACATTTTTAACAGCAGCTCGCGAATTCAGATTTTCCCCTACATTTTAAAACTGTACTACGCGGCTTACACATTGCTCAACAAAAGGCATTTCCGACAGATGGCGCATTTGTTAATTTTCTGGCATACAGTCGATTCCCTCGATTTGCTGTCATTCTGTTAGATCAACAGACGCAGAGCGAAAGAGAAAACAGTTTAGTGCGTTATATTTCTAGCACTTAACAGAAGTGTATTTCTATGCACAATATGCTTAAATATTTTTTTTTAACGAAATAACACTATAAACTTACCTAGTTAAAATATATTTATTTAAATAATAACTTAAATAATAAACACAAATGCGTACAAATGTAAGAGTGAAAAATCAGTGTTTGAAAACAGCGCGCCCAAATACGAAAACAGCTGTTTTTAGCAGTGGCTGTGCAGAGCATTAACATTTTAGGTAACTATCGCTGTTAGCTAAACAATTTAGCGTTAACAGGCCTGTTATTCATGAATTTTGTGTTGAAGCGTGTGGTTGTTGCGGCCGGCAAATGAGATGAAAAACGACAAAACATACAACTTTCGCGAGTAAACTTGTGTTAAATATTTACTAAGTGAATTGTGCCCAGTGTAAAAAATGTTTTAGCCAATCCAGTGTTGATGTTTTAAAGATTTTCGCTTTTCCCGTACGACGCCACTGTTATTCCACTGCGCTCTTCGCTCCTCGCTCTTCGCTCTTTTCTCTGCGCGTGTGCTTTGCCAACATATTCGCCGTTTATTCGATTGTTTACGAATTTGTGTGTGTGCTTAAATGTATAAAAACTAGCGGAAAATTAGCGTTTTTGAATGAAAATGCCAACAACAAGAACCAATATGATTAACAACAACAATAAAATGCTGCTCGCTCTGCTGGCGCTGACTGCGCTGCTGCTGCGCGCTAGCAACGTTGGCGTCGCAGCCCATTTGAATGTGTTCCTCAATCCAGAAGAAGTGATGCGTTTGCTGGGTGAGTCTACCCCTTCCCCCTCCTTTTGTTATTGATTTCTCCACCTCAGAAAATAACCACAACCATAATTTGTGTCAACCAATTATGCGGCAGCTTTAAGTTTTACAACAAATTATTTCATTCATTGAGAACTGAAAACTGAGAAAATGCTTTTTTTTCGAGTATGTTGATTTGTTTGCTTTGACTTAATTTTAGACGGATCTCTTTGACCATCCTTCTCTAGCTCCCTTACAAGCCATCTATCTGCCTCGCTCTTGCATGCTGTGGCTGCTGCTGCAGGTGTTGTTAAACAGTTAAACAAATAAACAAACAACGGGCAAAGGCAAAAGCAAATGCAAAAGCAAAAACAAAAACTGTTTCTTCTATAACATAACTTTCTGTTGGTTCGTTAAGAAATTTTACGCTTCGTAAAAAGAAGCAGCAACAACAACAATACAAATTTACAAGCAGCATTAAATTTATTTCACTGCCAGGGAATATTTTTTGAATATTTCTTGGAATTGAAATTCCACTACCAAAAAAAACAACACACACACACGAGAGACGACACGCAAACGAGATGACAACGCAAAGGAAACAACAACAACAACAACGAAACACTGCAACGGCGAAGGGAACAGGCAAAGGCAAAGGCAAAGCCAAAACGTGACTTGGAGCAGCACAAAACGCAAGCGGAGAGGAGAGATGGCGAAAGAGGGCAGAATCAGAAGCAGCAGGAACAGCAACAATGAGAGCGCAGGCATCTTTGTCAGCTGTGTGTGTGTGTGTGTTATGTGCTGCTGTTGCTGTCGGTGTTTGCTTTTGTGTTGGTGTTAGTGCTTGTGGGGCTATAACAGTGCACAGTGGTCGCCAAGGGACATACACAATTTGGAAACTCAATTCGTGAACGGAAATGTAACAGGAAGAACAGAAATTATTTATAATATATGTATATATATTTTTTATTATTTAAAAAGCTGTTTTAATTTTATGTTCTAATAGTTACAATTCAATATCCTTCTGCCTGCACATTCTGATTGCATTTGAGGCCACTGTGCGACGACGCCTGTGACTCTCGCTTGGCACTCGTATTTTTGGCAAGTCAAAAACAGCTGCCGCCCACTGCATATGTATCTGTTGTTGTTGTTGTTGTTTGGCATGCTGCCTGCTTGTTAAGTTTAGATAGAGTTTTTTTTTACAACCATGTGTGGGAGCTGCATTTTTTTGACGTCGACGTCGACGACGACGATGCGCATAATTTGCGTATGCATTGTGAATTTTGGGGCGTAAAATCAAATATGCAAAATATCGTATGTTTGGATTTGGATTGTTGTCGCTTGTCGTTAGTCGTTTGTGGGCGCCTTAAGCGCATTCCGTTTTCGCTCAGTGCAGCTTCAGCCAGGCAGCATTGAGACTAATTAAGACTAAGCTAAAAAGTTTGCAGACCACACCAATGCTCTTTTTCTTTCTCTTTGTCCTTATGCTTTATCACTCTTTGCCTTTTGTTTGATAAATGAGCGCAATAAAGAGAAGCGCTAAGGCCATAAATCAATTAGGCAGCATAATTTGCATTTGATTTGTGTGTGTGTGTTTCTCATTTTGGCAAAAGGGGAAGTTGAAACTGAGCCGAGGCTTGAATTAATTTTTATTTCCATTGCACTTTTATAAGCATCCCCACAGGGAGTCATCGCAGAGTCGCCTCAGAGTTCAATGCCGCTCGGTTTTATTTTTCATTTTGTAAGCCTTTAGTCATAAAACTGGCATATGATATATGATAATCAGCCAGACAGCTGGGTGGGGCAGGGTCTAAAATCCACACACGATCAATTCGACTTGTCGTTCAGTAAATAATATTCTATTTCCCCTTCTCTCCCTCTTTGTGTGCCACAACTCGTTGCACACAAATTTTATGTGTTCTGCTGTGACACGCGCTACATTTTAAAATGACATTTTTTTTTTTTTGGCTGTGGCATTTTATTTAAATTGAATTTTAATGCCATTTTATTTTGGACATTTTTCGACAATTCTCGTAGTTTTTTTTTCTTTCAACAACTTTTTACGACTTTAACGCTTTGGAATTTTCTGTTTCTTTTCTACACTAAACCAAATGTATTTTATGGGCCCATTGGTCGCTGTGTAATTTTTTGGGTGCTTTGCTTTAATTTTATTGCCCATTTGCTGTGTGCGTTAATGAAGCTGCATTAAAAAAGTTCACTGCACCGCGAGAGAGCTTTGCGAGAGAGACAAAGACAGAGAGCGGAAACTTTGGAGTTGAGCTTTACAATTCGGATAGATAAAAGTGATGTGTATTTTATAGAAAACAATTCCTCTTTTATATTAATAATATTATAATATATTATAATGCTGAATAGAATTATTTATTAGTAATTGTGTAATTATAAAGCAGCATTAAACATGTAAAATACACACAATAATCATAATAAAATTACTTGCATTTTACGGGTGAAATTTGTAACATCTCTGTTAAGCTCCCACAAGCGCAAAGACCCCATTACGATTTCGATTTGTGTTCTACAATCTATGTTCAAACTAGAGTAAGCTAAGCTGTGCCATTGAAATAATTAAAAGGGATGTTAAAACAGATTGGAAACCACGCGTTTGCATTTGTGCACAGATTTTGATGCTGAATACAGCATACAACTCTGCATAAAAGAGCATTGCTAGAGAATGAATCCCGTTGAATGAATACAGAACGCATTTGGTAAATATTGTTCATTCACTAGCTCGCTACTGGGTGTCTTTGAAAGTGACTCGCTCTCATTTCTACAACGATTTCTCATCTCTCTCTCTCTCTCTCTCCTGTCCTGCTTGAAAGATTACTGCACTTGCAGCAGTGCCACTCCCCTTAACGATCGACCCTAGCATAACTTGGTGTTCAATGCACGCAGCTGCTAAAACAGGCATGACAACAGCAACAGCAACTGTTAAGTCTTTGCGAAGCAGCAGCACAAAAGATAATAATAACACGAACGTGTTAAATTTACCACCAACTGTGTTAAATAAATTAAGGTAAGAGACAAAGCTACGCGCTAAACGATAAACGGGCTCAAACCGGCAGCTCGCTCTTCTTGGCCAATTCCCAATTTCTATACGTAGACGGATTTGCATATAAATATTGAAACTATTCGGCGCGTCAGTTTGAAGTGGGCTTAGTTCAAGTTTCACACATGGCAAACAAGCTTAAAAATTAAGAAGAAAAAAAAAAGAAAATACACAAAGAGGGGCAGCTGTTGTTGTTGCCACAGTAGCCACATTTAGCACCTAGAAGCTGCCGTTGCCGCTGCTTTTGCTGCTGCTGCTGCTTGGCCATAACAAGCATGCAACCACAATATTATCGTCTCGGCTTTATGGCTTGTTCTTCGCGCTACTTGCCAAGATCATTACAGCTGATTGTAGTTGGCAACAACTTGGCTTCTCCTTTTCCAACTCCAACTCCAACTTCGGCACCAGGTCCAGCTCCAGCTCTCTCCATCTTCTTGTCTGCGTGCTAAATGCCTTCCACGAACTGCCGCCGATCTCTGGGGGCCAAAGTTGTGTTAACGGTTTGTGGAATCGCTGCGATATCATCAGCCAGCACTCTTTTGCTTCGTTCTCTTGGTATGATCTATATTTTAATTGGTTTGTTGCTGCCTACCTGCCTGACGACCACAACAACAGCAACAAGAATCTGTTGCGCTTCTGTTCTCCAGATCTCTCCCTGCTCGCATAATGAAGTGGCCATTAGCTAATGAAGCTATATGTGCGATAAGCACAGCGGATCTCGTGACAACTAATAACCATGTCTTCCCCCACGATGTAAGACAATTAACAGATTATGTGTTGCAGCGAAGTAGGTTTACTGCCCTCAACAGGTGTTGCATCAAACTTGCCATAAATTCTCAGCTAGCTTCATAAAAGGCGCTAAAAATTACCAAGTAGCATTCTTTGGTTGTTTCTTTTTTTCATCTCTTAAAAAGCTCAAGAGGGGTGTAATGAAGTTGTGTAAATATATTTAACAGACAAAAGAAAGTATATACGACCTCAAAACCTATATATTCTTCAGTCTGAGTATAAATTTATGATTGATGCTGGAATTTAGAATCCTAGTTGGGGTCTCTCGACTGACATATTCCTATTTTTGTTTAAGTCAAAAATGTTGTGTTATTATTAAATTTAAAATTTTCAAGCTTTCTGTTGTTCTCAACGAATGCCCTTTTTTTTTTTTTTTAAATAGTGCTGTACAAGTTGACTGAAGCTACAAATTAATTCAAACACTGAGGCAACCTACTTAAATAGACCCTAGTCAAGCACTGGTGATAATCGTTATCGGCTGCAGTCTGGTTTTCATTGAACCATCTTGTTCGGGGACAAGATGTCATCCCATTTAGTGCTCATTACTTTTGTTTTGTATGTGTGTGTTTTTTTTTTTTTGGAATTTGATGCTCAATCTATTTATAATGCTCATCGATCGCTGTGGCCTCGACTGCATTATCGATTACAGCACGTCGCTGGGCAGCTGACAGCTCATAAAGAGTCACATTTTGATGTCTCAAATTACGGCGACTTTTTTTTTGTGATGACATTGAAGTGCCTCATTTTGTAAACAGGCGAGGGCCATTTGTATACAAGTTGTTGCCAAGACTTAGCCCTGGATTAAACGGATTCCAGTGTTCAACAAAATACGGCGTTTAAATAAATGAAAAATCGCATAAGGCGATTTTGGGCGTGGCCACAAAATCGATTGTAAAATACATCAACTCAAATCAAATAAACGTAAAATCGCAATACGATGTTAAAGTTAGCCGACGGTGGAGGTGGCTAGGTGGGTGGGGGGAAGGTGCAGTGGCAGCTTTGTGGGCTTATCAGCGGCAGAGTCAAACTTACCACTGTCAACTGATAACCCCCCAGGCTACGCGCACGCTGCCGATGTCAATAATAAATAACTTGCATTGTTTGCCATCCGCCAGTCGCCACTCTCTATATATCTGTATACATATATATATATATATATAGAGCGCAAA